CCACCCAAGTCTGGGCCAGGAATGCACCTTGCTGCCCCCTTCTGCAAGGATCCCCATTCACCGCCACAGAGGTTGTGAAGACGTGGGGGTTAAAGTATTTATTTTTAGCCTTCAAGCGGCCACAGAGAGCTGGGGGTGGAGGCAGGGGGATGAGTTGTGTCCTCGAGACACCCTTCTGGTGCAGACTACGTCATGCGCAGCCTTTCCTTTGTCTCTCCCCCCTCTCCCCCCCCCCCCGGTGTGACTGGAAAGTGGTTGAAATCCCAAAGGACCCAGGAGCCTTGTTCCCAAGCCCCTTCCATGCAAGCCCACCCCCAAGCCCTGCTTGGGATATTAATCTGTGAAATTCACCTGTGGAACTGGCTGCCACTAGACGAGGTCAGGACCGCTGGCTTGGCCACACCCCGGGAACAGCTTTGACCAGCCAGCTGAATGGAGGGTAGCTGATGGGTCGCAAGGCCATGGTGAGGTGGGGACTTCCTTCGCATGGAACATGGTGGACTCTCTTTTAAACAGAGGTTGGGTGGCCATCTGTCAGAGGATTCTTCAACTGCAATTCCTGCATTGCAGGGGGTTGGACTGGATGACCTTTGGAGAGTCTCTTCCAACTCTGCAATTCCATGATCTCAGAAGGTGGCGTCCTCTCCTTCGTCGGAGGTGTTGTAAACGAAAATCTGCCCTTCTTCCCTTATGGGGGACACAAGAGCCCTTATAGAGTCCTTTGCAGGTTCTCCATCGGTCGGAGAAAATAACAGAGGCCAACCAGAGAATATTGAGAAGCAAAGCAGCTAGTAAGCCTGATCTTTATTGAACTGTTGCAACAGGGTGCTCCCCTCACACATAGGAAAGGAGGAGGACCCAGAACAAAGGTGTGCCCGCCCTTATATAGACATTTTAAATTCCCTGCCCTGGAGCTCAAGACCACTTCTCCATACATCATGCACACATCACAGAAGGGGTGTAGCCCAAGACCACCCCCCACAAACATCATACCTACGTCGCAGAAAAGGCGGTCTACAACAGAAATCCGAGTGCCTTGTTTTTACCCTGTCTGCCAGGTTATCTGATAATGCCTTATCTGACTGCCTTTCCTGGTAGTCTGGCCATTCCTTTGAGATGGTGATTTCCCAATTCCTGAGACGATGGGAAGGTTCCCTCACCCCCTCCCTCCTAGCAGAGAAAACATTTGGTCAGTTTGGGAGTCAAAATGGTTTCAGGGTGGTCTTCCTATGCTGCTCCAGACATGTGGTCCACATATCTATGTACGTGCTGGGGTTGGTACATTTATGAACATTTATTATATATAAAAGACCTTAATTTTTTTATTTCAGAGGTTTTCAAACAGGTTAGGGTGGCCGTCAGTCAGGGATTATTCAGAATTGATTCCTCCTTTGCAGGGGGTCCCCTCCAACCCCACGGTTCTTCCATTCTGTGGGTCTTCTCCCGCAGAACGGCTGGTGAAATGTGTGAGAGCATGTGGGGCGGCGAGAGGCTGGGGGGGCACGAAGAAGCTGCACCCACAGAATTCCCTCTGGGTACATGGGGTGCATGGGATGCAGGTGGCGCTGTGGGTTAAACCACAGAGCCTAGGACTTGCCGATCAGAAGGTCGGTGGTTCGAATCCCCGCGACGGGGTGAGCTCCCATTGCTCGGTCCCTGCTCCTGCCAACCTAGCAGTTCGAAAGCACCTCAAAGTGCAAGTAGATAAATAGGTACCATTCCGGCGGGAAGGTAAACGGCGTTTCCGTGCGCTGCTCTGGCTCGCCAGAAGCGGCTTAGTCATGCTGGCCACATGACCCGGAAGCTGTACGCCGGCTCCCTCGGCCAGTAAAGCGAGATGAGCGCCGCAACCCCAGAGTCGGTCACGACTGGACCTAATGGTCAGCGGTCCCTTTACCTTTACCGTTACATGGGGTGCAGGAGGCCTTTGGCGAGGGTAGTGGTGCTAGCTGGGTCCACGCCTGTCCCTTGCGCGACACCCGTTGCTGGGGCACCCATTTCGTCTCCCTCAGGAATGCCCATCTGCTCAGCTAAGCCCCAATCCTGAAGTGGGGAGGCCCCCTCTTTGGCGGGGCTGAGGGGTGGCGATGTGGGCCCTGCCTCTGCTTTTGCGCTTGACGGCCGGACAAAGCCCCGCGTCCAAGGCAGGCCCTCGGCGCGCCTTAACAAGCATTAAGCCTCCCTTTTTAATTAGCTGCCTGAGCCGCTTAATCCTGGCTGGTGCGGGGCCATTAATTAAAAGGCACAACGGTAGGGGAGGAACGCCATTCTCCCCAGCGACGTCCCGGGTGTGCGGGCTCCCGCCTCGACCCTACGGAAAAACCGCCACTTCCCCGGCTAATTGAAAACCCCACGGCTGCCGTCTTCGCAGCCTCCACTCTCTCCTTCAGAGGAGAAAGGTTGAGGCATTCAGGTCTGCCTGTAGCTGGTTGAATGTCTGAACCCAGAACACGCTTGCCATCCTGGGGAAAAGAGGCAGGTGGGTTGCTGCAGGATCCTGTCCCAGGCCTGTTGCTCTTCAACAGCTTTATAAACAAACTTGGGTGGAGGAATTGATAAATAATAATAATAATTTATTATTTATACCCCGCCCATCCGGCTGAGTTTCCCCAGCCACTCTGGGCGGCTTCCAATCAAGTGTTAAAAACAATACAGCATTAAATATTATAAGCTTCCCTAAACAGGGCTGCCTTCAGATGTCTTTTAAAGAGAAGATAGCTGCTTATTTCCTTCACATCTGAAGGGAGGGCGTTCCACAGGGCGGGCGCCACCACCGAGAAGGCCCTCTGCCTGGTTCCCTGTAACCTCACTTCTCGCAGGGAGGGAACCGCCAGAAGGCCCTCGGAGCTGGACCTCAGTGTCCAGGCTGGACGATGGGGGTGGAGACGCTCCTTCAGGTCTACTGGGCCTTTGAGGCCATTTAGGGCTTTCAAGGTCAGCACCAACACTTTGAATTGTGCTCGGAAACGTACTGCAAGCCAATGCAGATCTCTCAGGACCGGTGTTATGTGGTCCCAGTCACCAGTCTAGCTGCCGCATTCTGAATTAATTGCAGTTTCCGGGTCACCTTCAAAGGTAGCCCCATGTAGAGCGCATTGCAGTAGTCCAAGTGGGAGATAACCAGAGCATGTGCCACTCTGGCCAGACAGTTTGTTATTGAATGATTTTATGTTACAAAAAAACATTACAACCATACTACCACTAAATATAATTGAGAAATAAAAATTACACACATCAATATTTAGTTTATTTGTTATTTACCATCTTATTTCCTCCCAAACATTCCATGCAAAAACACACATTCCAATGCAAAATAAAATTCCAAAAACAAAATGCAGTGCAAAACAAAATTCCAAAAACACACATTCCATGCAAAAACACATATGTACAGACACACACACACAAAATGATAACAATGAAAGTAAATACTTTCCCCCCTTTGATCTTACAAAATCTTTTCTTCAATTTTGACTTCCTGTCAAGTCCCTTTGCATACATTTTATCTTACAATCGAATGCAATAAACCTTTCTCCATAAATTTTCCAATGCGTTCTTCGACTGCATAGGCCTTTGCAGGGGTTGAACAGTTGTGGAGGAATTCGTGGCCACCTTTCCGTTTGCGGCTTGTTGCCTGCCTGAAAATCCTGCAAAAATCGCACCTGCTCCTCTCCTCAATTTGCGCCCCCTACAGGGGAAGGACCCCCTACCCAGATCCCCCGTCTCCCTTCACCTCCCCACCCTACCTCCTGTCCTCCATCCCCGAATAACACGAAGGAGGAGAATGGCAGGGCCCCTGGGTGACTTTTGCCGGTCTCTGGGGAAACCTCCCTGGAGAGCAGCAAGAATCAGCCAGGCCTTTTCTCAAACCCCTGGGAGGCAGAGGGGAGAGGGAGGAGGAGGAGGAGGTTTCCTTGGCAATCCGAGGTTTCCCCTTGGGATGATGGATTTCATGGGAAGGGGGCGCTTACGGGATGACGGAGGTGTTGGGAAGAGGCTGTGGGGGGGGAGAGAGAAAGCTGTTGGTTGGGGGTGTAGTGAGAACCTCCAGGCCTTCATAAGCCGAACTGTTGGGAGATTCAGAACAGATGAAAGAAAGTCCTTCCAGCGCATTTTTGACCTGTGGAACTCCCTCCCACAAGATGGTCAAACCCCTAAAGGTAAAGGGACCCTGTGACAGGGTGAGCTCCCGTTGCTCAGTCCCTGCTCCTGCCAACCTAGCAGTCCGAAAGCACGTCCAAGTGCAAGTAGATAAATAGGTACCGCTCCAGCGGGAAGGTAAACGGCGTTTCCATGCGCTGCTCTGGTTCGCCAGAAGCGGCTTAGTCCTGCTGGCCACATGACCAGCTGAACGCTGGCTCCCTCGGCCAATAAAGCGAGATGAGCGCCGCACGAAAACACCGTTTACCTTCCCGCCGGAGCGGTACCTATTTATCTACTTGCACTTTGACGTGCTTTCGAACTGCTAGGTTGGCAGGAGCAGGGACCGAGCAACGGGAGCTCACCCCGTCGCGGAGATTCGAACCACCGACCTTCTGATCTGCAAGTCCCAGGCTCTGTGGTTTAACCCACAGCACCACCCGCGTCCCTGTTATTGGTCTATATTCCTTTATAAATATTGTTCGACAATAGTCCTAATATACATTTTTAATTCATTTTGATACTATTATCGAATAAATTTCTTGTGTTTTCCCATTATGAGGTTTATTTCCTGTTCTGTGTTTCCAGACAACCCTGCCTCACAGGGGGTTGGGCTGGATGACCCCTGGGGTGCCTTCAACCCTTCCATGATTCTAACCCTTTGCTGCTTCTCTACCCATCCAGGCCGCCCTTCCTTCCTTCCTTCCTTCCTTCCTTCCTTCCTTCCTTCCCACCAGCCAGCCAGCCCCCACTCCCTGCCCTTTCTCCACCTCCCCCCCTTCCCGTAACCCGTCCCCTGGGCAACACATGCCTTTCACTGGGGGACAAAAGCCCCCCTCCAGTCCCCATCCCAGGAGGACACCCCCCTGGCTCCCTCGGCCTTGCCAGCAGGGGGTGGCCCCTGTTGCCCAGGGAGATGGGGTGGGTGGTCCGAGCACCCCTATAAGAATGGCAGCCGGGGAGACAGGCAGGCCAGACGCACCCAAGCCATCCTTCCGCTCGCCCCTGGGGGGTCACGGCAGCCCACCCGTCCGACATCCCAAAGGAGAAACTTGCTGGCTTGTTTTGGGGGGAAGGATGAAGGTCTTGCCTGCCTCCCTCTTCCTCTTCCTCCTGCCCCTGGCCTCCCAGACCCCTGTCCACTCAACCCAGGTAAGTAGAAGACCCCAGGAGGACCCCACTTCTGTCTCAAACCCCACTTCTCTGTCGAAGACCCCACATCTTCGAAAGCATTCCAATGCACCATTTTTTTTGCAGAGATCTAAAACATTGAATTGCTGGTGGGTAGGAATTTTGGGAGCGGGGCACAGGGTCCTGCTTATGGGGTGAGTGTTTTTTGGGGGGGTTAAATTTCTCCTCTCTTGTCTCCTTCCCTCTTCAGTCCTTGCTGGAGATGCTTGGGGAAGACTTGGCCGCCTTGCTGTCGGCCAACGAAGGGGACCACCCACCGCCGCTCTCCCAGATCCTACGCGGCCAGCGGCCCCCCCACGATGCCCCCGGCCCCCCAGCCCCCTCCTCAGGGGAGCGCGCCTTTATCCACTTCCTGAAAGACTTTGTGAACACCCAGAAGAAGTTCCGGGGGCGAGCCAAGAAGATGGCCCAGCAAGGGTGCTTTGGCATCAAGCTGGACCGGATCGGGACCCTCAGCGGCCTTGGGTGTTAACGGTAAGCCTGGGTGTGGAGTCGCTGAGGAAAGGGGGTTGGGGAGAGGGAATGGGCAGGGTCTGCATCTCAGAAGCCCCCTCTCTCGGCACCTCTAGGTGTTGGACTGGGGTTAACATGCCTACACAAGTGAGGGCAACCAAAATGGTCAAAGGCCTGGAAACGATGCCTTATGAGGAACGGCTACGGGAGCTGGGCATGTTTAGCCTGGAGAAGAGGAGGTTAAGGGGTGATATGATAGCCATGTTCAAATATATCAAAGGATGTCACATAGAGGAGGGAGAAAGGTTGTTTTCTGCTGCTCCAGAGAAGCAGACACGGAGCAATGGATCCAAACTACAAGAAAGAAGATTCCACCTAAACATTAGGAAGAACTTCCTGACAGTAAGAGCTGTTCGACAGTGGAATTTGCTGCCAAGGAGTGTGGTGGAGTCTCCTTCTTTGGAGGTCTTTAAGCAGAGGCTTGACAACCATATGTCAGGAGTGCTCTGATGGTGTTTCCTGCTTGGCAGGGGGTTGGACTCAATGGCCCTTGTGGTCTCTTCCAACTCTATGATTCTATGATTCTAGTCCCTGTGAGGTTGTCCACCAGATGTCAAAGAGAAAAACAACGACCAGACTTTTAGAAGACATCTGAAGGCAGCCCTGGTTAGGGATGCTTTTAATGTTTAATAGACTATTGTATTTTAATATTCTGCTGGAAGCTTCCCAGAGTGGCTGGGGAGACCCAGCCAGATGGGCGGGGTATAAATAATAAATTATTATTATTATTATTATTATCATCCTGCGCTGATCATGTTCAAAGCAGCAGGATATGCTGAGCCTTCCCTGGGCACCCAGGAGGCGTTGGAAGAAGAATCCCTTTTGGATCGATTCCAAATTTTCATGGAATCCAGGCACAGAATCGTGGAATTGTTGAGTGGGAAGGGAGCCCGAGGGTCATCTAGTCCAACCCACTGCAAAGCAGGAATCCTGCCCATGCGAAGCACATTGCTTCCTCCAAATCAGTGGTTCTCAACCCGTGGGTCCCCAGATGTTGTTGGACTACAACTCCCATCATCCCTGAGCTCTGGCCTTGCTAGCTAGGGGTGATGGGAGTTGTAGTCCAACAACATCTGGGGACCCACAGGTTGAGAACCGCTGCTCCAAATAATACTGGGAACGGTAGTTTTGCCCCTCGCAAGCTACAACTCCCAGCACCCCTAACAAACTACAGCTCCCAGTGTGGTGTAGTGGTTAAGAGCGATAGACTTGTAATCCGGTGAACCAGGTTCGCTTCCCCGCTCCTCCACATGCAGCTGCTGGGTGACCTTGGGCCAGTCACACTTCTCTGAAGTCTCTCAGCCCCACTCACCTCACAGAGTGTTTGTTGTGGGGCAGGAAGGGAAAGGAGAATGTTAGCCGCTTTGAGACTCCTGAAGGGGAGTGATAGAGCGGGATATCAAATCCAAACTCCTCTTCTTCGTCTTCTTCCGAGGAGTCTTGCATTGGGGAGTGGAATGTGTTTGAAATATGCTTTAAGAACCAATTGCAACAATACAAGCGCAACATGTAGGCTAATAGTTAGTAGAGAATATATAATAGAATGATGATATCATTCAAATTACAGTGGTACCTCGGGTTAAGTACTTAATTCGTTCCGGAGGTCCGTTCTTAACCTGAAGCACCACTTTAGCTAATGGGGCCTCCTCCTGCTGCTGTGCCGCCGGAGCACGATTTCTGTTCTCATCCTGAAGCAAAGTTCTTAACCCGAGGTACTATTTCTGGGTTAGCGGAGTCTGTAACCTGAAGCGTATGTAACCTGAAGTGTATGTAAACCGAGGTACCACTGTATAGGAATAAGCCAATCCAAGTTCATATGTACAATGTAACAGAGTGGTGGAGACCGATGAAGACTATTACGAAACAGTGGCGTCATTCTGGAGACACTGTCCTTTTGAGGTTTTTGAGATGTCTTCCGTTGAAACTTTTGAAAGACTATTGAGAGACTTTACTTTGGAAGCTTTTTAGACGACTTCTGTTGGAACTATTGTAAGACTGTCCTTAGATATCTAACTCTGTTATGTTGTACATATGAACTTTGATTGGCTTATTCCTACGTGTTGTGTTTGTATTGTTGTGATTAAATATGCTTTAAACAGAATCCTATTGCTGACTATGTCTCTGGACAGCCGACAAACAGAATTATTTGTCTCTGGTAAAGGTAAAGGGACCTTGACCATTAGGTCCAGTCATGGCTGACTCTGGGGTTGCGGCGCTCATCTCGCTTTATTGGCCAAGGGAGCCGGCGTACAGCTTCCGGGTCATGGGGCCAGCAGGACTAAGCCGCTTCTGGCGAACCAGAGCAGCGCACGGAAACGCCGTTTACCTTCCCGCCGGAGCGGTACCTATTGATCTACTTGCACTTTGACGTGCTTTTGAACTGCTAGGTTGGCAGGAGCAGGGACCGAGCAACGGGAGCTCACCCCGTCGTGGGGATTCGAACCGCCAACCTTCTGATCGGCAAGTCCTAGGCTCTGTGGTTTAACTCACAGCGTCCCCTTCTTTGTCTCTGAACAGCCGACAAATACCCTTTTCCCACCACATGTCCCCCTCTGGCAACTGTTACCTACAGGTAGACTGCTTCTGGGCTTGGAGGTAAAATTTAGCTACAATCTGTAGACCTTTCACACCTCTTCCTCCTCCATAAATTTATCAAATGCCCTTTTTACGCCTTGAGAGTTTGAGACTGTGGGTTCCTTACATTAACTATGTCACATACGAATATGCACTTCCTTTTCGACAACTGTTGCTTGTCCCCATCCAATTCAGGAAGGTGATTCAACAGGATGCGTGTGTGGCAGGTGGCACTCCTTCATCTGGGTCCACTCCTGCCTTCAGATCTCCCATCCGCAGTCAGTCTTTGCCTTTAGCTGCAACACAGGGGGTTGGACTGGATGACCCTTGGGGTCCCTTCCAACTCTATGACTCAATAATAATAATAATAATAATAATAATAAATTTTATTTATAGCCCGCCCTTCCCAGTTCAAAAACTGGGCTCAGGGCAGTTAACAACAAATTTAAAACACTTAATTATAAAAGCAGCATAAAATACAGTATAAAAACATGAATAACAATAAAATTCAAAAATCAATTTAGGGGAAAGAAGCATAAGGGCTAGCTGGCTGAATTGGTCCTCTTTGGGCCAGCGAGGAGACCAGGGGAGAATTAGCTGTGGGGTCCCAGAGTGGGTGATCTTCATAAAAGGGGAGGGGGAGGGAAGAGAAGGGAAATGAAAGATCAGGCTGAATTCAAATTAAAGGCCAGGCGGAATAGCTCTGTCTTACAGGCCCTGTGGAAGTAGGTTAAATCCTGCAGGGCCCTGGTCTCCTGGGACAGAGCATTCCACCAGGTCAGAGCCATCACTGAGAAGGCCCTGGCCTTGGTGGAGGATAGTCTGGCTTCCTTAGGGCCCGGGACCTCTAAACTATGGTTATTCATGGACCTTAAGGTCCTCTGCGGGGCAGACCAGGGGAGGCGGTCCCGTAGATACGAGGGTTTTGGCAATGGGAACTTGCCAGGGAAAAGGCAGGGGTCTGAGGGTTCGGGAACGGAGGCTCAAGTCTCCGAAGGAGGAACACAGGTGGACAGAACTTTCCAGATGTATGTCAATTTTGGTAAGGCTAAAAATTATGGCGGCAGCTGTTTTCAGCTCCTTTCCTAGCATAGAATTCGCATTTTTCACAGCTGCTGCACACTGGGTTGACATCTTAAAAGAGCTATCCACTAGGACTCCCAGGTCTCGTTCCTGGTTCAGCTCCAGTTCAGACCCCACGAGCCTATATTTGAAATCTGCATCACCTTACTCTCGTTTACATTGGGTTGCACTTGCCAATTCGCCTTCCATTCACTCGGTTCGGAGCTCTTCGCAATCCCTTTTTCATTTCAGCGACCCTGAACGGCTTGGGATCCTTGGCAAATTTGGCCACCTCACCCCCCAACTCTGGATCATTCCAGGAATTCTCTCATAGACTTTGTAGATTCCTACAAGGATTCCTGCGCAGATTTAGCTGTCAGGAAATAAGAGGAGAGGTCCTCTTACTGCGGGACTTGACATCTTTCCGCAGGGCCTGCAAGACAGAGCTGTTCCGCCTGGCCTTTGGTTTGGGCTCAGTCTGACCCTTATGTTTCCCTCCCCTTATGGTCTTGATCTATGGGCTGCTTTTAAAATGAGGCTGCATTTTAAATTGTATTTTAACCCAGTATTTTAAATTGTTTTTTTTCCCTCCCCCCCCCATAAGTTTTTATTGTAATTTTACAGGTGTTAGCCGCCCTGCATCCGGCTCTGGCCGGGGAGGGTGGGGTATAAATAAAATTATATTATTATTATTATTATTATTATTATTATTAATACAACAAAACCATTTGCAGGAAACAGAGTAGGGACAAATAAATGCCCGAGAAGAACCCTGCTGGATCAGGCATGTGATTTAAACGATGGGATTCACTCCCGCAAGCTGTACTGAGCGCCACCACGTTGGGTAGTTCGTAAAAATTCGACAAATCCATTGAGGAGGAGGCTATCCAGAATGCGGCAGCCAGACTGGGGACTGGGAGCGGCCGCCGAGACCAAATAACACTGGTCCTGAAAGACATACACTGGCTCCCAGTACGTTTCTGAGCACAATTCAAAGGGTTGGTGCTGACCTTGAAAGCCCTAAACAGCCTCAAAGGCCCAGTAGACCTGAAGGAGCGTCTCCACCCCCATCGTTCTGCCCGGACACTGAGGTCCAGCTCCGAGGGCCTTCTGGCGGTTCCCTCCCTGCGAGAAGTGAGGTTGCAGGGAACCAGACAGAAGGCCTTCTCAGTAGTGGCGCCCGCCCTGTGGAACGCCCTCCCACCAGATGTCAAAGAGAAAAACAACTACCAAACTTTTAGAAGACATCTGAAGGCAGCCATGTTCAGGGAAGCTTTTAATGTTTAATAGGTTATTGTATTTTAGTGCTCTGTTGGAAGCTGCCCAGACTGGCTGGGAAAACCCAGCCAGCTGGGCGGGGTATAAATAAATTATTATTATTATTATTATTATTATTATCATCATCATCATCATCATCATCATCAGCTGCTATATGCTCTTTCCAAGGCCAGAAGCAGCAGACCTGCTGTTAAACTACGGAACTCCCTGCCACAGGAGGCTTTAAAAGAGAATTGGGGAAATTCTTGGAGGAGAGGGTTGCAGTTGGCTACTAGCCATGCCTTCATGGTCAGAGGCAGAGCAATAGGTAGATTTACAGAGAGGGCTATTGATGGCTGCTAACCATGACATAATGCTTCTGAATGCCAATTGCTGGAAACCAGGGAGTAGGGGGAAGAGCTGCTCTCGCACTCGGATCCTGCTTGTGGGTTTGGCTTTGGGCCACCTGGTTGGGCACTGCGAGAACCAGGATCCAAAAGCTGACAGAATATGCCAAATTAGGCGGTCTATCGGACAAAATAAAGAATACAGCAAACCAGGAATTTGCTTCAAAATGGGAGTTTTTCAAAGAATATCTGAAATATAAATATAGTAGTTCAAACTCTGTTGCAGCATTCGAGGAACTTCAGTAATAGTTGCAAGGTAGATATATTAAGAAAAAGTTTAATTATGGTAAAAGTCTGTATTGGCAATAAGTAATATGAAATCGAATATGGAATAGACGGGAGGTTGGGTCTTTAGTGTGAAGACCAATTTATGTTTTATTGTTTGTTAAGAAAATTCCGTGCCTATAGTTATCCCTGTGTATAATTTGGTATTTGTGTTTTCTCTTTTTTTGCTGTATCAATAAATTTTTTTTTAAAAAGAGAGAGAACCAGGATCTTGACCAAGATGGGCCACGATTGCCTTGATCCAGCAAGCCTCTTCTGATGGCCTCATTTTGCCTCTTCTCTTGCAGGTGCCACCCCTCTGACGAAGCCCCCCAGGGGCCGAAGGACTCTGCACAGACAAAAGCGCCCGCCGGGTGCTTGCAAATAAATCTCCGTACCTGCCCCCCCTCTGGGCGATCTGCCCCGCTTCAGACCAAAAAAGACAAAAGCCCCTCCACTACCCTGACCCCCACGGACTTACTCCAAACACCAAGCGTCTCAACGTGCCATTTGTAACCGATTGGAACCTGTCTTAAATTTTTGCAAAAATAAAATTGTTTCTGTTTGACTCCCCCACCCTACCCAACCCAACTTTGCTGCCAAATTCATCCGGGTTTGTGGAACGTCTCGCCGTGCAAAGGTCGGCTCCCAAATTTTCGATTTGGGTAGCGAAAAAGGACGCCTCTCTACGTGTAAAGAGCACGTTGTCCTTGCCGCTTGGTGAGCCAAGGCATCTCTGGGATCAGGAGGCAGAGCTAACAAATGTTTTTTTGCAAGGCAGGCCCGTCAGGGCTCACTGTCAGGGCAGGTAGCAGAAAGTCCTTCTTCAGTTCACCTGCGGAACTCCCTGCCACAGGAATCAGTGATGGCTTTCATCTTGAATGGCTTTAAAAGAGGATGGGGCAAACCAGGAGCAGGAGAGGACTATCAAGCGCCGCGAGCCATGTTGGTTACGCTCAAATCACAAGAGTGGCTCTTGTGCCCCAATCCTGCTTACGGGTTTCCCATCTGGCCTGCAGGGGGTGAGAATACGTACACCCAGCCTTGGAAGTAGTGTTTCAGAGATGGGAGGCTGGCATGAGAAACAGGTTTCTGGGTCTGAGGCCTGAGAGCCCTGAGTGCAAATTAAGGCATGGCATGATGGGTTAAGGCATGGGTAGGCAAACTAAGGCCCGGGGGCCGGATCTGGCCCAATTGCCTTCTCAATCCAGCCCATGGATGGCCAAGGAATCAGTGTGTTTTTACATGAGTAGAATGTGTCCTTTTATTTAAAAGGCATCTCTGGGTTATTTGTGGGGCATAGGAATTCATTCATTTCCCCCCCCAAAATATAGTCCGGCCCCCCACAAGGTCTGAGGGACAGTGGACCGGCCCCCTGCTGAAAAAGCTTGCTGACCCCTGGGTTAAGGTCTCCAGCAAACATGTATTAACGGCAAGCACTTTCCACACAGGACGCGGGTGGCGCTGTGGGTTAAACCACAGAGCCTAGGGCTTGCTGATCAGAAGGTCTGCGGTTCGAATCCCCGCGACAGGGTGAGCTCCCGTTGCTCGGTCCCTGCTCCTGCCAACCTAGCAGTTCGAAAGCACATCAAAGTGCAAGTAGATAAATAGGTACCGCTCCGGCGGGAAGGTAAACGGCGTTTCCTTGCGCTGCTCTGGTTCGCCAGAAGCGGCTTAGTCCTGCTGGCCACATGACCCGGAAGCTGTACACCAGCTCCCTCGGCCAGTAAAGCGAGATGAGCGCCGCAACCCCAGACTCGGCCACGACTGGACCTAATGGTCAGGGGTCCCTTTACCTTTACTTTCCACAAAGGTTTACAGATTTCCAGGGGCGGCACAGCTCAGCGAGGCCACACGGGGTCGCTGTTCCTCTGCGAAACCTGTGACCTCGCGTCTCTCGACCTGGGTTTGTGGAGGGTTGCAGTTTGTTTTTCCTACGACAGTAGAGAGGGGAAAACAACAGAACACCCTCTCTCCCCAGGCGCCTCTTTGCAAAACACTTCAGAAAGGAGTCTGAAGGTTACCCCAAACTGCACGTGTGCAAGGAGCCCTGTGCGCAAAGCAGACACTTCTACTCAGCAAGGGGTACCATATCGAACCCAGGAGAAATTTGCACTGGGTGGACCAGTTTTTGTGGCAGCTGCATTCTGTGTGGGCCTTTGGGAAGAACCGGGAGTCTTTGCAAAATGAGCCATGCGATAATATAGTCATAATTGCCAGAGCCAACTGGATGATCCCAGGAAGTTCCACTTAGGGATTAATTTGAAGGGAAAGCAAAACAAAAATGCGACCGATAGCTCTCATTCCTGCACTGCAAGAGATTGGACTAGATGCCCCTTTGCGTCTCTTCCAATGCCACAATTCTTCTTGTTGTTGTTGAGTCGTTTAGTCGTGTCCGCCTCTTCGTGACCCCCTGGATCAGAGCACGCCAGGCACTCCTGTCTTCCACTGCCTCCCGCAGTTTGGTCAAACTCATGCTGGTAGCTTCGAGGACACTGTCCCACCATCTCGTCCTCCGTCGTCCCCTTCTCCTTGTGCCCTCCGTCTTTCCCAACATCAGGGTCTTTTCCAGGGAGTCTTCTCTTCTCATGAGGTGGCCAAAGTCTTGGAGCCTCAGCTTCAGGATCTGTCCTTCCAGGGAGCACTCAGGGCTGATTTCCTTCAGAATGGAGAGGTGTGATCTTCTTGCAGTCCATGGGACTCTCAAGAGTCTCCTCCAGCACCAGAATTCAAAAGCATCCATTCTTCGGCCACAATTCTAGGATTCCATAAATCTGCAGAGCCATACACAGTCCCTGCTCCTGCCTTGCAAGTTATCATAAGGATTGGAAGTAAATTATAAATGGGAAGTGCTTGGCCGTGTTGTCCTAGACGCCGGCAAATCATAGACATGTGGTAGGGACCCTGAGGGTCATCCAGCCCAACCCGCTGCAATGCCGGAGTCTTTCACCCAATGTGGAGCTTGAATCCACAACCCTGAGATTCTTGTGCTCTACTGATTGAAATTAGGTAAAAGTAAAGGGACCCCTGACCATTAGGTCCAGTCATGGCTGACTCTGGGGTTGCGGCGCTCATCTCGCTTTATTGGCCGAGGGAGCCAGCGTACAGCGTACAGGTCATGTGGCCAGCATGACTAAGCCACTTCTGGCGAACCAGAGCAGCGCACGAAAACGCCGTTTACCTTCCCGCCGGAGTGGTACCTATTTATCTACTTGCACTTTGACGTGCTTTCAAACTGCTAGGTTGGCAGGAGCAGGGACTGAGCAACAGGAGCTCACCCCGTCGCGGGGATTCGAACCGCCGACCTTCTGATTGGCAAGTTCTAGGCTGTGGTTTAGACCACAGCACCACCCGCGTCCCTGAGATTACTCGGAAGCAAATGCTTAAGTTCAGAAGGGTTTGCCTCTAGGGTAACCGGATAGAGGATCACTGCCTTAAAGCGCGGGTAGGCAAACAAAGGCCTGGGGGCCAAATCCGGCCCAATCGCCTTCTAAATTGTGTTTTCACATGAGCAGAATGTGTCCTTTTATTTAAAATGCATCTGTGGGTTATTCGTGGGGCATAGGAATTCGTTCACCCCCCCCCCAAATATAATCTGGCCCCCCCCAAGGTCTGAGGGACAGTGGACCGGCCCCTTGCTGACCCCTGCCTTAAAGTCTCATTGTTATTGCTGGCTGCCCCTCGCCCCCATTTAAGAGACCTCTGGGAACTGTAGTTTTGTGAACCTGCTGGTAACCTGTGCTACCAACCCGAGCAAAAAAAGGCAAAAAACCCGGGTGCAAGGTTTTCAAATCCATTTGCAGAATGCACATTCTGGCTTAAACTGGGTTGGGCTGCAGGCAGAGGCCTTACTGGATGCTAAAACCTTCCAATATTATTTTTAAAGGGTCCCTCTGGACTACATTTTCCAGAAGGAATGTGGCTGCATTTGGATTCGGAGTTCCCGAATTTGCACGAGCCTCACGTCTCTGCCACATTTCAGATCTGCCTCCCTCTTGGATTGGGCTTCCGGGACACCCACCCCCCCAGCCCCCCAAAAAAGCAGTTTTAGGTCCTTCGAGTGAGAGCCAGCTGCATGGGATCAACATGGGCTTGGCCCGCGGAACGCCGATAAATCAAGAGAGCCATTAACCCCCATTGTGTCTCTGCACAAGGAATCTGACCTGTGGCTTCCCTTCCCTGGAAAAAAGGAGTCTTCTCAATGGATTTCTGCCCAGTCAGTTTCCTTCCACGCTTCCTGCTATTTTGGGTGGGGAACATTCTCCCTTTTCCTTTACTTTGCTCTCTCCCTGCTCTGGAGCGGTGCGAAGGATCCAGGAACTCTGGGTCCAGCTTGGATGGAGAGTTCCAAAAATCGTAGAACTGGAGGGGTCCCTGAGGGTCATCTAGACCAACCCCTCGCAAGGCCGCAATCTCAACTACTAGGCTGAGACCCTACCTGCCCGCAGACTGTCTTGCCAGAGTGGCGCATGCTCTAGTTGTCTCCCGCTTGGACTACTGCCATGCGCTCTACGTGGGGCTACCTTTGAAGGTGACTCAGAAACTACAACTAATCCAGAATGCGGCAGCTAGACTGTTGAATGGGAGCGGCCACCAAGACCACATAACACTGGTCCTGAAAGACCTACATTGGCTCCCAGTACATTTCCAAACACAATTCAAAGTGCTGGTGCTGACCTTTAAAGCCCAAAACGGCCTCAAAGGCCCAGTAGACCTGAAGGAGCGTCTCCACCCCCATCGTTCTGCCCGGACACCGAGGTCCAGCTCTGAGGGCCTTCTGGCGGTTCCCTCCCTGCGAGAAGCCAAGTTACAGGGAACCAGGCAGAGGGCCTTCTCGGTAGTGGCGCCCGCCCAGTGGAACGCCCTCCCACCAGATGTCAAAGAGATAAACAACTACCTGACATTCAGAAGACATCTTAAGGCAGCCCTGTTTAGGGAAGCTTTTAAAATTACCGCTGTATTGTTTTTAACACTTTAAACTATACGGACTTTTGTTGGCAAGGTGATGTCTCTGCTTTTTAAGATGTTGCCTAGGTTTGCCATCGCCTTTCTCCCAAGGAGCAGGCGTCTCTTAATTTCGTGACTGCTGTCACCTGGAGCAGGAACCGGCAAGCCACTCCAGTATCCCTGCCAAGAAAACTCCATGGACAAAGGCAACAGGCTTTAGAAGAGGTCTAGACAAACCCATGGAGGAGGAGAGGCCTAGCGATGGCTCCACGGTCAGAGGTAACAATGCTTCAGGGTAACGATTTCCAGAAACCACAGGAGGGGAGACGGTCACTCTCGCACTCGGATCCCACTTGTGGGATTCCCTATTATTTTTGTGTTTTCAGATTATACACCATCCTGTGGTGCCTGGGTGAAGGGAGGTATAGAAATCAAATAAATAAGTATATATATATCTCGCTATATGAGTGAGAGATTTTACTTTCTTGGGCTCCATGATCACTGCAGATGGTGACAGCAAAAATGAAATTAAAAGACGCCTGCTTCTTGTGAAAAAAGCAATGACAAACCTAGACAGCATCTTAAAAAGCAGAGGCATCACCTTGCCAACAAAGGTCCGTATAGTTCAAGCTCTGGTTTTCCCAGTAGTGATGTATGGAAGTGAGAGCTGGACCATCAAGAAGGCTGATCGCTGAACAATTGATGCTTTTGAATTCTGGTGCTGGAGGAGACTCTTGAGAGTCCCAGGACTGCAAGAAGATCCAACCTCTCCATTCTGAAGGAAATCAGCCCTGAGTGCTCACTGGAAGGACAAATCCTGAAGCGGAGGCTCCAAGACTTTGGCCACCTCATGAGAAGAGAAGACTCCCTGGAAAAGACCCTGACGTTGGGAAAGATGGAGGGCACAAGGAGAAGGGGACGATGGAGGACAAGATGGTGGGACAGTGTTCTCGAAGCTATGAACATGAGCTTGACCAAACTGCAGGAGGCAGTGGAAGACAGGAGGGCCTGGCGTGCCCTGGTCCAGGGGGCCACAAAGAGGTGGACACGACTAAACGACTAAACAACAAAAATCTCTATATAACTCTGGTTGGCAACTGTGAAAAGCAGGGTCTTCCTAGGTTCCAGCAGATGTTCAGATAGACTGCCCTTCCATATGGCAGTTCGATTCAGCCAGTCTTCCCCAACCTGGTGCCCTGTGGGCTCCCAACGCCCCAAACCAGAGCTAATAATGTGTCGCTTCCATGGGGTGGCTTGGGATAAGACTTTTCTCTTTCTGATGATCGTAACAAGGGTTGAGGAGCGGATCCAGCCCCATAACCTGGGCAGACTGCGAAGGGCTTTTAATGCCTTGCCAGCCTGTCTTAGCTGCCAAAAGAGGTCTAGACCAGGCATAGGCAAACTCGGCCCTCCAGATGTTTTGGGACTACAACTCCCATCATCCCTGACCACCAGTCCTGTTAGCTAGGGATGATGGGAGTTGTAGTCCCAAAACATCTGGAGGGCCGAGTTTGCCTATGCCTGGATTAAGACAATTTTGTGAAGGATAAATATGGCTGTCACGGGCTACTAGCCACTTTTCCTGCTGGGAGACAAAAAGAAAGTTTGCGATTCTAGGTAGACGTGGGAACGGAAATCCCAACTGCTGTGGAATCTGGAACCCAATGCTTTAAATTTGACACCCTGGGACCCTGGAACCTTTTGACACTTTCTGTTTCAGAAAATAAGGGAGTATAATTGCAGCATCAAATTCTGCCCCCTCCCCCATGACAATTCCCGTCCCCTGTTCCACCCACCCCCCAACCCAGGCAGCAATATTCCCCTCGGTTTCATATACTTTTTTTGTTTTTTTTAATAAAAAGCAAAATCACCACCTTCAATATGAAGGTTAACAAAATGATACAAAAGAGAAGCGCTTTGTAACGACATCACAGGCCTGTTCCCGTGACATCACCTCTCAGCGCCCACACTTTATCTGGAGGCACTTTGTTTCGATGTCATCAAGAGAGCGAAACCAGGCATCTCCTTCCACCGGCTTTGGTGTCGGCCGCCGGTTCTCCCGACACCTGCAGTCACACGGAGATGACATCACAGAGAGAACGGTCTTGCTCTTGCACCACGATGACATCGCAGTCCAGTGCCCAAGACATCCCTAACAGTCTCCAGAGTATTATTGGTCTCGAGTGGCGAAAGCCATAAAAAGGCAGCTTGAGATATCCCAGAGCAAAAGCTTCGCTTTCCCCTCCTGTGACATCATCACAGTGACATCATCAGAAAGTGCAGAGTCTTCTGATTGTCATATGGTTATTTCAACGCGGCGGTTTAACCCTTCTCTGTGGCATGCACGTCCTTGAAAGCTCATAGATTCGGCAGGCAGGGGTGACATCACTCCTGCTCCTGATGACATCACTACACAGCTGCCGTTTCCCTCCAGCATTGCGAGGATGTGGCGACAAGTTGCACTCTGGCGAATGCGGCACTCCTCGCGGCATGCCAATGACAGTCCCTCTTTGGCTTTCAGGACGGGGAGAGTCAGGGGCTGCACATCAAAGTGTGCAGAAACCTTGACCCCCGTCCCTTTATTATAATGGAATATGTCCATATAGATTCAAGTAAGGCTCCCCATTTCCAGAAATCGGTAGACAACGGGCGGCCACCCTCCCATCACCCCAAAAGGACGGACGACAAATTGTATAAGGCCTCTGGTGATCATCCCACACAAATCCTCCATACAGCACCATGGTGGGCCGAAGTTTTTAAAACGCACCCCAAAATGGCAGAAAGACAGCGATCCAACAGCCTCCATTTTGAAAATGTTGCCACCAAGCAGAGAGGGGTGGCCATCTTGAAGGCCAGGTGGCAAAGGAATTTCATTTCCCTTTCCTTCGCCACCTCATTCCTCCCACTAGGCGGCCACCTTGCAACCTCCAACAAACAGGCCAGCCGCTCCGGAAGACAGCGGGAGGGCGGCCATTTTGCGGCGTGAACTGCAGTCCGGGAAAGTTGGCCGTCGGGAGGCCATCTTTGGCTTTTTCAACGTTCAGACGTTTCGGCACCACGGAAGGTCACGCGAAGACGCCGAGGCCCATGGAACGGCAGGGACGGAAGACGCTGGGGGTTTGGCGGCCATCTTTGTTGGCGCTGCGGTCGGCCATCTTGAAAAGCGGCCCGGCGGGTACCAAAAGCGACTCCTTTGTGTTTGTGGCAACTTGACTGGCAAAAAAAGGACGAAGAAGAACGACTATCCTCATCGCGCTTGAACAGTTAAATTATCTTTCCATCCCTTTCTGTCCCAAAGGATGAGAGGATACGTGGCGGGGGAGAGAGAAAGCCAAATTATTCCCCACGGAATACGCTGTTCCAAAACTGAAAAATAAGTGAAAAATAAGAGAGACGAGCAGGAAGGAGGGAGGCAGCCGATGTCCCAAGTCAAGAGGCCACAATCGTCACCATTTGATTGAGGAGGGGGAAGAACAGTCAAAACGCAATAATTTTGGACGGTCAGTAGGGTCCCAAAGAGGAGCCGGACTTGCTCTGAACACGCATGTTCTGAATACTGGACAAGATCTTCTTCTGATGTCCGGCCAACGTCACGCCGATCCGGAGGAGGTCTCTGGAGAGGGAAAGCCAAGAGAGGAGGAGAGAGGAGTCACCACAGTTGGAAGGGACCCCATGCGGTCATCTAGTCCAACCCCGATGTGCGGGAACCACAGATGCGATTTCAGAGCGGCATTACCGCCGCATCTCAAACTCGCTGCCCCGTCTCCCCACCCACAAGGGTTTTGGGACCCTCCTTGCCCCGCAGGCTCACTCACTCGGTGGAGAGTTGGCTGACCAGCTCAAAGGAGGTGAACCCGGCGCCGGCGAAGTTCTCTTCGTAGCGCCCCATCTTGATGGCGCGGAGCCAGTCGCCGATGGACGCGAAGGAGGAGTAATGGGGCAGGCGTTGGTCCAGGAGGGGGTGGGATGGCCTGAGATTATGGGGGGCGGAAGGAGAGAGAGAGAGAGAGGAGAGCAGCCGTTTCAGTGGGGTTATGGTGGTGAAGGTGAGGGAGACAGAAGCCACAGAATCACGGAAGTCAGCCTTTAAATCCGTATTAAATTTGCGCTGATTTGCACCACGATTTGTTAAAAATTATGGAAAACCCCTAAAAAAATAACTGGCTGAAAAACAAACAAACAAGGAACTCTCCCATTTACGCGGGGGTTACGTTCCAAGGCACGTGAAATCGAATGGATTGGGAACGCTGTGGGAAAAGCCTGCAAGCACCCTCTGAAAACCCTCAAAAAATCCTTTGGAAAACCTCAAATGCTGGTGGGATTGCTAGACGCCATTTTTGTCCCTTTCTGTGCCCGTTCTGGGTTCGAGGCGATGGATGTTTCTGAGCACAATTCAAAGTGTTGGTGCTGACCTTGAAAGCCCTAAACAGCCTCAAAGGACCAACAGACCTGAAGGAGCGTCTCCACCCCGGACACCTGGGTCCAGCACTGAGGGCCTTCTGGCGGTTCCCTCATTGCGAGAAGCCAAGTTACAGGGAACCAGGCAGAGGGCCTTCTTGGTGGTGGCTCCCACCCTGTGGAACGCCCTCCCACCAGATGTCAAGGCAATAAACAACTACGGTCATACCTCGTGATAAATACGCTTCAGGTTGAGCGCTTTTGTGTTGTGCTCCGTGGAGACCCGGAGGTAACGGAGCGCGTTACTTCCAGGTTTCACCGCTTGCGCATGCACAGACGGTCAAAATGACATGATGCGCATGCGCGGAAGTGGCGAAACGCGACGTGCTGTCGTGTCTTACCTTCTGTTCAGGATGCGAATGGGGTTCCAGAACGGATCCCGTTCACATCCCGAGGTACCACTGTATTTTACTTTTAAAAGACACCAGGGAATTTTACTTTTAAAAGACACTGTATTTTACTTTTAAAAGACACCAGGGAAAACTTCCCTGTTTAGGGAAGTTTTTAATGTCTGAGGCTGTATTGTTTTTAATATTTGGTTGGAAGCCGGCCAGAGTGGCTGGGGAAACCCAGCCAGATGGGCGGGGTATAAATAATAAATTACTATTATTATGCCTTGACCTCCTGTAAATGGGGAGTTGCCTGTACCTTCCAACTCTATGATTCTGCAATGGTCAATTATCCCGGGGCGGCCATCTCTGAAATCTGACCGTGGCTGCAAGCCCCCAGATATGGGTCCCCAACCCCACATAGAGTCCTAGAGAAGGGCTGCGGCTTAATGGCAGAGCCTTTGCCTTGTGAGCGGAAGGTCCCGGGTTCAATCCTCGATGGCCTCTCCTGGTTGGAAGCTATTTCCTTGGGGAGGCAGCGGTGGTGTAGTGGTTAGAGCGTTGGACCCAGGACAGCGGGGGTCAAATCACTTGGCCTGTGGGAGCCAGTCACTTGCCCACAGCCTAGCCTACCTCAAAGGGGCGTTGTGAGAATTAAAGTGGGGGTGGAAGAGAACTACATATCCTTGGAGGAGAGGTAAGTTGCAACTCCAATGCAGAATAATCAGCAAGCGCAGTAATTTCCGAGGCCAGATCTCCCCGGGGAAGAGGGCAGGGGCCTTATCCGGACTCACCCTCCGTTCCCCCGCGAGACGATCTTGAGGCTGGCCGGGTTCCGGATCAGCTTGTCCAAGGAGTTGACGATCTGGGCGAATCGGGGCCGGGTGTTGCGGTCCTTCTGCCAGCAGTCCAGCATCAGCTGGTGCAGCGAAGTGGGGCAGTCCGTAGGGGGCGGGAGCCGGTAGTCCTGCTCGATGGCGTTTATCACCTGGGGGGCAGAATCACAGAATCATGGGAGGGGCCCCTGAAGGACATCTAGTCCAACCCCATTGCCACGCATGAACCTCAGCTTAAAAAAAACAACAACCGAGGGCCATCCGACAAGAGGATCATCAGAAAATAAAATGGGGGGCGGCGGGCTGAGAAAAAATTGTGGGAGAGGTTGCTTATCTGTAAGCCGATAAGAGGTTTCAAAAGCAGGGACTACAACTCCCATCAGGCTCCAACCAGCCGCAGCCCAAAATGGCGGCCCTGGCTGGGGGCTGATGGGAGCTGTAGGCCAAAATGGCGGCCCTGGCTGGGGGCTGATGGGAGCTGTAGGCCAAAATGGCCACACTGGCTGGGGGCTGATGGGAGCTGTAGGCCAAAATGGCCACACTGGCCAGGGGGCTGATGGGAACTGTAGTCCAGAACATCTGAGGGCATGAGGGGAGGCTGGATGAGGGCAGGGGAGGCACTCACATCCTGGTTTGACATGTCCCAATATGGCCTCTCCCCGAACGACATGACTTCCCACATGACGATCCCGTAGCTCCAGACGTCGCTGGCGGAGGTGAACTTGCGGAAGGCGATGGCTTCCGGGGCCGTCCACCGGATCGGGATCTTCCCGCCCTGAGGAGAGAGATCAGGAGGATCGACCAATGAAAGAAGAGGAGCGCGGCGGAGGCTTCTGACACACAGTCACCCCAGGCGCTGGCCCTCATCTCGTCTCCCAGGACGCCTGGGTTCCTCGTGAGATGCAGAGCTTAAGTGGTGGACCAGGACATGAGAGAGACCCAGGTTCGAATTCCCGCTCGGCCCTGTCGCTCACTGCGCTGGCCCAAAGCCGTTCCGAATTCAAGGTGTAACTACAGTGGTGCCCCGCAAGACGAATGCCTCGCAAGACGGAAAACCCGCTAGACGAAAGGGTTTTCCGTTTTTGAGTTGCTTCGCAGGACGAATTTCCCTATGGGCTTGCTTCGCAAGACGAAAATGTCTTGCGAATCTTGAGATTTTTTTTTCGCTTTTCCCCCCTTTATCTAAGCTGTTAAGCCTTTAATAGCCTTTTAGCAGCTAATCCGATAAGCCGATAAGCCTTTAATAGCCGCTAAACCGCTAATAGCGCTAATCCGTTAAGCCGCTAATAGGGTTGCTTCGCAAGACGAAAAAACCGCTAGACGAAGACTCTCGCGGAACGGATTAATTTCGTCTTGCGAGGCACCACTGTACTATTATGCAAAGCCCTTAAGAACTTGGGACCAGTTCACCTACAAGGCTACCTGATCCCACATGCGCCCCTTTGACTGCTGAGATCTGGGGAACCAGCACTGCTAAAATTGCCACCTGATACCTCATCTACATCTGTAAGAACTCAATCTTTGGAACTCCTTGCCTAATGACACTGGACAGGTGCCCTCACTGTTTTGTTTCTGACGCCTGCCGAAGGAATTCTCATTTAGGCAGCCCTAGGGACATGGGTGGCGCTGTGGGTTAAACCACAGAGCCTAGGGCTTGCCGATCAGAAAGTCGGTGGTTCGAATCCCCGCGACGGGGTGAGCTCCCGTTGCTCGGTCCCTGCTCCTGCCAACCTAGCAGTTTGAAAGCACAAAGTGCAAGTAGATAAATAGGTACCGCTCCGGCGGGAAGGTAAACGGCGTTTCCGTGCGCTGCTCTGGTTCGCCGGAAGCAGCTTAGTCATGCTGGCCACAGGACCCGGAAGCTGTACGCCGGCTCCCTCGGCCAGTAAAGCGAGATGAGCGCCGCAACCCCAGAGTTGGCCACGACTGGACCTAATGGTCAGGGGTCCCTTCACCTTTATACATACACAATGGGACGCAGATGGCGCTGTAGGTTAAACCACAGAGCTCAGGACCTGCCAATCAGAAGGTCGGCGGTTCGAATCCCTGTTGCTCGGTCCCTGCTCCTGCCAACCTAGCAGTTCGAAAGCACACCAGTGCAAGTAGATAAATAGGTCCTGCTCTGGCGGGAAGGTAAACGGCGTTTCCGTGCGCTGCTCTGGTTCGCCAGAAGCGGCTTAGTCATGTTGGCCACATGACCCAGAAGCTGTAGACCAGCTCCCTCGGCCAATAAAGCGAGATGAGCGCCGCAACTCCAGAGTCGGCCACGACTGGACCTAATGGTCAGGGGTCTCTTTACCTTTTTACCCAGAAGTTTAGAAAGCCTGTGTTTAAATTTGGTTTGCTCTGTTCTACTGCGGTGTTAACTTTCTGCATTTTTCTTTAAAAAAAAAAAGTTCCCATTTTTGCATTTTACAATATTTCAACAACAAAAATTGAATCTTAACAAATTCAACCTGCTTCTTCTTTGACTCCCTCCCCCCAGGCGGTTCCTTATTTTATATCGCAGTCTTACCACGTAACCATCTCAAACCTATTCACCAATCTAACCTTCTTACTCCCTTTAAGTTATTTCCTACTGCTCGTGTTTACATCAACTCTGCTGACATTTAACTTTCTGCATGTTTTAAATGATGGTTGTACATCGTTTAGCGATAGTTTTGTCCTTTTTTGGTAAACCGCTTTGAGGTTTCCTTCTGCAATGAAGCGGTATGCACATTTTATGAAACAAATAAAGAACAGAACAGAACAGAATAGAATAGTATCGAGAGCCGGGAAAACACAAAACCAATTTTCCGTACCAGCGAACTAGTGTAAGTGGGGTCGGACGAATTCTCTTCGAGAAAGCGAGACAGGCCGAAATCGGAGACTTTGCAGACCAAGTTGCTGTTGACCAGGATGTTGCGGGCGGCTAAATCCCGGTGGACGTAGCTCATGTCAGAGAGGTAGCGCATGCCGGACGCGATCCCCCGCAACATCCCCACCAGCTGGATGGGGGTGAACTGCCCGTCGTTCAGCTGCGGAAAAGCAAGACAGGGAAGGAGCCTTAGGAACAGTTACAGTCAGCCTTTCTCAGCCGTGGGATGTTGGTGGACTACAACGCCCATCATCCCTAGCGTGCGCGGCCAGTGGATGATGGGAGTTGTAGTCCCGACATCTGGGGACCCCTCCAGATTGAGAAAGGCCGCATTAGGGGAGCCAGCCCGCCCAGTGGAAACTTAACCCTTCGTCGACTCAAGGCCCTCCCCAGATGTTTTCGACAACCCACCCGCCAAAACATCAAGCTGCGTATGAAGCAAAAATAATTATATATATTATATATGCTTTCCTTGTCTACGTGTTCATGTATGCTTCCCATGTCTGCATGTGTTTCGTAAAGATATTGTCAGTTGCTCGGAGTCGATGCAGCCAAAAGAAGTGACAAATTGGGGAATTCGGGTGAAAAAGCCTCCATTGAGATTACAGTAATAATAATAATAATAATAATAATTTATTATTTATACCCTGCTCATCTGGCTGGGCTTTCCCAGCCACTCTGGGCGGCTTCCAACAAAATATTAAAATACCGTAATGCATCAAACATTAAAAGCTTCCCTAAACAGGGCTGGGACGTGGGTGGCGCTGTGGGTTAAACCACAGAGCCTAGGACTTGCCGATCAGAAGGTCGGTGGTTCGAATCCCCGCGACGGGGTGAGCTCCCATTGCTCGGTCCCAGCTCCTGCCAACCTAGCAATTCGAAAGCACACCAGTGCAAGTAGATCAATAGGTACCGCTCCGGCAGGAAGGTAAATGGCGTTTCCGTGCGCTGCTCTGGTTCGCCAGAAGCGGCTTAGTCATGCTGGCCACATGACCCAGAAGCTGTAGACCAGCTCCCTCGGCCAATAAAGCGAGATGAGCGCCGCAACCCCAGAGTCGGCCACGACTGGACCTAATGGTCAGGGATCCCTTTACCTTTACCTTTAAACAGGGCTGTCTTCAGGTGTTAAGGCCGAGGGCCTTCTGGCAGTTCCCTCATTGCGAGAAGTGAGATTGCAGGGAACCAGGCAGAGGGCCTTCTCGGTGGTGGCGCCCACCCTGTGGAACGCCCTCCCTTCAGATGTGAAGGAAATAAGCAGCTATCCTATCTTTAAAAGACATCTGAAGGCAGCCCTGTTCAGGGAAGTTTTTAATATTTGATGCTGTACTGCTTTTAACACTTGATTGGGAGCCACCCAGAGTGGCTGAGGAGACTCAGCCAGATGGGCGGGGTATACATAATAAATTATTATTATTATTATTAAGGTGAGGTTGGGCAAAAGCCTCCCGAGCTTTTCTTATTACAAGTATCGGGGGACCCCTACCCCCTCTGGCCTGCACCCCCCAGCCCTCTCTTGGCTCCGGCCTCCGTCCTTACCCGGAGGAAGGAGTCGAGGGCTCCGTTCTCCATGAACTCGGTGACGATCATGACAGGGACACTGTTTGTGATGACCCCGTCCAGGCGGATGATGTTTGGGTGCTCAAACTGCCCCATGATGCTGGCCTCGCTGAGGAACTCCCGCCGCTGCTTCTCGGTGTAGCCGCCTTTCAGGGTCTTGATGGCCACGTAGATTTCCTTCTTCCCGGGCACTTTCAGGAGACCGCGGCAAACCTCCCCAAACTCGCCTGCGGGAAGAGAGACTCAGGGGAGGGAGCAGGGAGATCGGGGTCCGTTCAGGCGGGGATCCCCCGCCGGGCTTTCGCGGGGAAGCGGGGAGGAAACCTGGCCCCGATGCAGGAGCCAGACTCAGGCAGGTGAAGGTCAAAACTACGATCGCCTGTGACTTAGAATCATAGAAGGGTCGGGACACCCAAAGGTCATCCAGCCCAACCCGCTGCAACCTAAGGTGTTGGTCCTTACCTGCGCCAATGACCTCCTCGATTTTGACGTACGAGACGTCGATCTCTTTGGCAAACTCGCGCACAGCCTCATTTGGGTCTTCGTAGGTGAAAGGGTCGATGTAGACTTTGGTGCCTGGAGAGGGGAGGAACCATAAACATAATAAACATAATAATAATGATAATAATGATAATAATAATTTATTTACATCCTGCCCTCCCCAGCCGAAGCCGGGCTCAGAGCAGCTAACAACAATAAAATTAACACAGCATTCTGAAATCAATTCATTCTAAAATCAATTCTGAATCAAATTGATGGCAACCATTGGGCTAGAGTTCTATGAGGATTACCGAAGGAGGGGGTCTGGCTGTGCCCTGGCCAAAGGCCTGGTGGAACAGCTCTGTCTTGTGGAAAGATGTCAAGTCCCGCAGGGCCCTAGTCTCTTGGGACAGAGCGTTCCACCAGATCGGGGCCACGGCCGAAAAGGCCCTGGCTCTGGTTGAGGCCAGCCTAACCTCCCTGTGGCCCGGGACCTCCAAGATGTTTTTGTTTGAAGACCCTGGTCCTCCATGGGACATACCAGGAGAGGCTGTCCCGTGGATACAAGGGTCCTAGGCCGTATAGGGCTTTAAAAAAAATACCCCTTTCGTAGGGTTGCCATATTTCCTGACGTCCACAGAGTCATTGAGCATTTTTTGGGGGGGACAAACCCAAATTGTTGAGCTTTTTAAAAGTGATTTTTAGATTTGGGAGTTGTTTCTGCCGCTTTTCCCATCACGTTGCCATCCATCCGAGTTTCCCAACATTTTGCTAATTCAGCAAAACTCCCCCCCCCATGCCATTTTTACATCCGAAAACCAGGGCACGTCAGGAATTTTCGCTTTCGGAGCTGGCAAAGGACTAACTCAAACATGCCACCCCTTGCGGGACTTTCTGCCTTAGCTCCTCCCACCACCCAGGCTCCTCCCACCGACATCACCACGGTGCCCGCCTCCGCTCACTCACCATGTCCAATCAGGTACTGCCCAGGCTTGTCGGAGTATTCTTGCTCCCGTGACCTGGACGACCCCTGGCGGCTGCCAGAGGGAGGAAACAAGATGGCGTCAAGGCCAACTCGGTGGCTCCGCCCACTATCCCTCCCTTTAGCTCCTCCTCCACAACCGCGTTCCAAAGGGAGGCGTCAATCACTGTCTGAATTTCCTTTGCGCTCTGCCCCTCCAGCACCTGACTGCAGCTCCCATCCTCCCTGCCCAGCACGGTAATTTTGGAGTACGGCTCCCATCAGCCCTCCAGCTGGCTCCTCCCACTGTCCATTTAGCCCCTCCCACAACCTCCGGTTAATCACATCCCCTCGGCCAGCTCTGGGACAAGGCACCTTACCGGAAGCAGACGATGGCCACAATGATCACGGCCAGGACCAGGAGCGCCCCCAACGCTGCTGTTCCCACGATCAGGGCCAGCTTCTCTGTGCTGCTTCCTGACTCTACGGGGTTGGAAGAGCAGAGAGAAATTTATCAGAATTATGATGATTTACAGGAGTAAATGAGCACCCAAGGCACGTTACATCATTAAAATGCAACATGAGAAACAATTTTGATGCCTTTTGACATCATTTAATTCTTCTGTTTTCCAGCTCCTTATGATTTGACTTAAATTTGATTTGATTTAAAGCTCTGGTTTTCCCAGTAGTGATGTATGGAAGGGAGAGCAGGACCATAAAGAAGGCTGATGGCCGAAGAATTGATGCTTTTGAATTCTGGTGCTGGAGGAGACTCTGGAGAGTCCCATGGACTGCAAGAAGATCCAACCTCTCCATTCTGAAGGAAATCAGCCCTGAGTGCTCACTGGAAGGACAGATCCTGAAGCTGAGGCTCCAAGACTTTGGCCACCTCATGAGAAGAGAAGACTCCTGGAAAAGACCCTGATGTTGGGAAAGATGGAGGGCGCAAGGAGAAGGGGACGACAGAGGACGAGATGGTGGGACAGTGTTCTTGAAGCTACCAGCATGAGTTTGACCAAACTGCGGGAGGCAGTGGAAGACAGGAGTGCCTGGCGTGCTCTGGTCCAGGGGGTCACAAAGAGGCGGACACAAATAACAATAAGGATTTGACTGTATGGTTTTTTATGTTTTTATACCGTCGTTCCCTCTGTTAGATGCTCTCCCTGGGGAGGCTCGCCTGACACCTTCGCCAAACGCTTTTACATTATCACATATCTTTAGGCGCCAGGCAGAAACACTTCTGTAGAGCCAGGACTTTGGCAGAGTGAGCCACGTGGCCTTTTAAACTGGGCCTGGGGACATGACTGGTCTGCCTGCTGTTACGTAAGGAATATTGGAGTACCGTTCCGATCCGCTCCAACCATCCCACAGCCATTTTGGACAGAAATTCCCACCAGCCCCTAGTCAGATATGCACCCCACCATGTGCTTGATTTATCCTTTTTTTCCCTTCCATGGTAAATCTTTATTAAGGGACGCAGGTGGTGCTGTGGATTAAACCACAGAGCCTAGGACTTGCCGATCAGAAGGTCGGTGGTTCGAATCCCCGCGACAGGGTGAGCTCCCGTTGCTTGGTCCGTGCTCCTGCCAACCTAGCAGTTCGAAAGCACATCAAAGTGCAAGTAGATAAATACCGTAGGTACCGCACCGGCGGGAAAGTAAACGGCGTTTCCGTGCGCTGCTCTGGTTTGCCAGAAGCGGCTTAGTCATGCTGGCCACATGACCCGGAAGCTGTACGCCGGCTCCCACGGCCAGTAAAGCGAGATGAGCGCCGCAACCCCAGAGTCGGTCACGACTGGACCTAATGGTCAGGGATCTGTTTACCTTTACCTTTTTAAAATCTTTATTGGTTTAAAATACAGACGTAAATGATCATTTACAACGAAGGTAAGTACAGAAAAATTCAATACAGAAGAAAAAACATCACAATATAAGAGTAAGAAAAAAGTTAAAAAGATGAAAAAGAAAAGAAAGAAGTATTGATTTATCCAAATGGGAAAGAAACATAGGCTAATATTAAGAGCTCTTACTCACCCATTCCCTGGGTCTGGAAGGCCTTCTCGGGCCCAAACGTTCCGTACCCGGCCTCCGAGCGGGCACGGACTTGAACCCCGTACATCGCCCCTCGCCGCAAGCCGCTCAGCGTCACCTGGTTCTCCGACGTTTTCACAAACATGGTGCCCCCGCCGCTCTGCATGGGAGGGAAAAGGGGTGGTGAAAGGGTGCCGGAAAACTGCTCCTCTTCCAACACACCACCCCCGCCGCAGGGGGTTGGGCTGGATGGCCCCTGGAGGTCCCTTCCGACGTCTCTCCCCCCTCTTCTGCTCACCTTCTCATAATACTTGACTTCGTAGTCCAGGATGCTCCCGGTGGGAGGCTGGACGGGAGGCCAGGTCAAAGTGACGGCGCTGGAGCTGGCAGATGTTTGCTGGATTTCGGAGACGGGCTGGGGGACTGTGGGGAGAGAAAATAGGGGGCTGCGTGAGCCACGGGCGATGAGGCAGCCCCTAGGAGGCTTCCTGCGGTCTCTCTCGCACGTAGCGCTGGAACCCAAAGCTACAGCTCCCATCCGTCTTGGGTCCAGCAACAGAAGCCTTTGACACCATCGACCACAACATCCTTCTGGACCGTCTAGAGGGGCTGGGAGCTGGGGGCACTGTCATACAGTGGTTCCGCTCCTTCCTCCTGGGCTGTGTCCAGAAAGTGGTGGGGGGGATGAATGTTCAGACCCCTGGGCTCTCACTTGTGGGGTGCCTAGGGGTTCTGTCCTCTCCCCAATGCTTTTCAACATCTACATGCAGCTGCTGGGAGAGATCATCAGGGGGGTTGGGCTGGGTGTCCATCAATATGCAGATGATACCCAGCTCTATCTTTCTTTCAAATCGGAACCAGCGAAGGCGGTGAAGGTCCTGTGTGAGTGTCTGGAGGCAGTTGGAGGATGGATGGCGGCTAACAGATTGAGGTTGAATCCTGACAAGACAGAAGTACGGGAGGCGGGCAGGTGTGGAGGACTCCCTGGTCCTGAATGGGGCAACTGTGCCCCCGAAGGACCAGGTGCGCAGCCTGGGAGTCATTCTGGACTCACCGCTGTCCATGGAGGCGCAGGTCAGTTCTGTGTCCAGGGCAGCTGTCTCCCAGCTCCATCTGGTACACAGGATGAGACCCTCCCTGCCCACGGACTGTCTGGCCAAAGTGGAGAATGCTCTGGTTATCTCCTGCTTGGACTACTGTCATGCGGTCTACGTGGGGCTGCCTTTGAAGGTGACGCGGAAACTATAACTAATCCAGAATGCGGCTGCTAGACTGGGGACTGGGAGCGGCTGCCGAGACTATATAAGACCGGTCCTGAGAGATCTACATTGGCTCCCAGGACGTTTCCAAGCACAATTCAAAGTACAGTGGTACCTCGGGTTACATACGCTTCAGGTTACATACGCTTCAGGTTACAGACTCTGCTAACCCAGAAATAGTGCTTCAGTTTAAGAACTTTGCTTCAGAATAAGAACAGAAATTGGGCTCCGGCGGCGGAGCGGCAGCGGGAGGCCCCATTAGCTAAAGTGGTGTTTCAGGTTAAGAACAGTTTCAGGTTAAGAATGGACCTCCGGAACGAATTAAGTACTTAACCAGAGGTACCACTGTATTGGTGCTGACCTTGAAAGCCCTAAACGGCCTCAAAGGCCCAGTAGACCTGAAGGAGCGTCTCCACCCCCATCGTTCTGCCCGGACACTGAGGTCCAGCTCCGAGGGCCTTCTGGCAGTTCCTTCCCTGCGAGAAGTGAGGTTACAGGGAACCAGGCACAGGGCCTTCTTGGTGGTGGCCCCTGCCCTGTGGAACGCCCTCCCAGCAGATGTCAAGGAAATAAACAACTATGTGACTTTTAGAAGACATCTGAAGGCAGCCCTGTTTAGGGAAGTTTTTATTGGGTGACATTTTAATGTATTTTTAATTTTTGTTGGAAGCCGCCCAGAGTGGCTGGGGAAACCCTGCCAGATGGGTGGGGTATAAATAATAAAGCATTCCTGCGCCGTTCCGGCTGCGAGAGCGACTGACCGTCCTTGTTGGTGGTCACGTTGATGGACTCCGAGGCCGGCGGGTTGTGGCTCATCTCGGAGACGCCGTTGACGGCTTGGATCCGGAAGAGGTAGTTGATGTAGGGCTGTAGTCCCTCCACGGTGACCGAGCGCTCCCACAGCCCCCTGGACCGGGGGGCGTAAGCCAGGCGGGAGCAGGGCCGGCACGGCTGCTTCTCAGGGCACTCGGAGCAGGTGACGTGGTAGGCCACGTCGTCGCGGCCGCCGTTCTCGAGGGGCTCGCTCCACTTCAGGACGGCCACCGAGCCGTTGATCTTGGCCTCGGGGCTGCGGGGCTTGGACGGGCCTTCTGCGGGGAAGGGAGGGAGGGAAAGAGGCAATGGTCAGGATGGGGGGACCCCGACCTACCCCAGGGCAGCCCTGCTCCAAACAAAGCAAACTTGAACCCTCTGCGTTGCAGGCGGGTTGGGCTAGATGACCCCTGGGTGTCCCTTTCTGACGGCGAGAGCTGTTTTGCAGCGGAATGGACTCCCTTCCTTGGAGGTTTTCAAACAGAGGTCAGGTGTCCATCTGCCAGGATGGTCTAACTGAGATTCCTGCATCGCAGGGGGTTCGTCTGGATGACCTTTGGGGATCCCATCCAACTCTCCTATCAACCTGCTGCCCTCCAGCTGCTTTTGATTGTTTTATTTTTTATTAAGCTCATTTGCTTTTTTCCCCCTTTCCCCCCAAAAAGTAACTTTCAACAAAGAAGCAAAGCACATTAAAACCAACGTTAGGACCAAAAGGAAAGAGGAAAACACCCAAAATTTCAATACCCCTTGTTTGGTTTTCTGTTTTAAAGCCCGAGAGACAGTAAAACGATAAGTTATACGGAAAAGGAACTCCTAAAACCGTTTGAAAGATGAGAAACAGCAATAAACTACAGACAAAACATCCAGTGCCATTCTACATGGCTGCTTTTAGCAGGCGCCAAAAAGAGTTCCACACTAAAATATCAATTTCTTCCAGATGCAAGACAGGCAGTCGGCCGCACCTTTAGCAGTGCCAGTTCTGCAGAATGAAGCGGTCGAGTGCGAGTATATGGGGCATGCTGAGAAATCCTATTTTTGAAAGGCAGGATAAAGACATCCTACTCACAGATCACTAAAAGCCCAAAGTCCAGCTGGAAAAAGAACTTCTGCCTGGCGCCTAAAGATGGTGCCAGGGCATCATTCCTGGGGAGAGCAGCGCAAAAGCAGGGGCCACCACCGAAAAGGCCCCGTCCTCGTGCTGCCACCCTCTGGACCTCCCATGGGGGAAGCACACAAAGATCACAGCATCCAGGTTGGTTCACGTAGGGGGAGCCAGCCCGTGAGGTGCTGGGGGTCCTGAGTCACCGAAAGCTCCATAGGTCAAATACTAGCCCCCGGAACCGGAACCCAGCTCCCGCCGAACCGCTCTCCCCTGCCACCGCCTTTGACATCACTTACTAGCACACGGCTTCGTCACGGGGTCCTTCTCCGTCCGGTAGAATCCGTTGCGGCAAGGGCATCCGCTGGATCCCGGGGCGTTTGATTGGCTGAAGGCCGGGCAGCTCTGGCAAAAGCCCTCGCCCTGAGAGGGCTTGAACATCCCTGCCGGGCAGGCTGCGGGGCGAGAGGGAGAGACAAGAGGATGTGAGAAGGATCCTTGCTGGTCGGATGGCCGCTGCGATCCGGGATTCTTCCGCTGCGATCCCCGCACTGCTGCAGCGGGTTGGGCTGGATGATCTCTGAGGGGCCCTGCCAACCCTAGAATTCTATAACCTTAAGAGGGTGGCGGTGGGATCGCCTTCATTGGAAGCTTTTAAACAGAGGTCGGACGGCTGTCTGTCAGGGATTCTTTAGCTACGATTCCTACATTGCATGGGGTTGGGCTGGATGACCTCTGGGGGTCCCTTTCAACCCTCTATAACCATTGGAGGTTTTTAAAAGGAAGTGGCTGTCTGTCAGGGATTCTTGCTTTGCTGCAGGGGGTTAGATCAGGGGCCAGCAAACTTTTTCAGCAGGGGGCCAGTCCGCTGTCCCTCAGACCGTGTGGGGGGCCGGACTATATTTTTTTGGGGGGGGGGGGGGAATGAACGAATTCCTATGCCCCACAAATAACCCAGAGATGCATTTTAAATAAAAGCACGCATTCGACTCATGTAAAAACACGCTGATTCCCGGACCATCCGCGGGCTGGACTGAGAAAGCGATTGGGCTGGATCCGGCCCCCGGGCCTTAGTTTGCCTACGCCTGGGTTAGATCAGGCACCCCCAAACTCTGCCCTCCAGATGTTTTTGGGACTACAACTCCCATCATCCCTAGCTAACAGGACCAGTGGTCAGGGATGATGGGAATTGTAGTCCCAAAACAGCTGGAGGGCAGAGTTTGGGGTTAGATGGCCCCATAGAGATTTCAGTGAGGACAGATAAAAGGAAGTCGTTTTTCGTAACATTGCACAGTTACACTTTGGAACTCCCTGCTACAGGAGGCCGGGGTCGCCAACGACTTGGACGGCTTTCAAAGAGGACTGGGCGAATACAGGGAGGGCTATGGATACACAGAGGAAATATACCAGAAAGATATGGATGTCTCGTACACCCCAGGTAGTGTGGTTGCTGACCTTGAGCCAGACATCCTGGAGAGTGAAGCCAGATGGGCCTTAGAAAGCACTGCAAATAACAAGGCCAATGGAAGTGATGGTATTCCAGCTGAACTATTTAAAATTTTAAAAGATGATGCTGTTAAGGTGCTACACTCAATATGCCAGCAAGTTTGGAAAACTCAGCAGTGGCCAGAGGATTGGAGAAGATCAGTCTACATCCCAATCCCAAAGAAGGGCAGTGCCAAAGAATGCTCCAACTACCGCACAATTGCACTCATTTCATACCCTAGCAAGGTTATGCTTAAAATTCTACAAGGAAGGCTCAAGCAGTATGTGAACCGAGAACTCCCAGAAGTGCAAGCTGGATTTAGAAGAAGCAGAGGAACCAGAGACCAAATTGCAAACATGCGCTGGATTATGGAGAAAGCTAGAGAGTACCAGGAAGACATCTACTTCTGCTTCATTGACTATGCAAAAGCCTTTGACTGTGTCGACCACAGCAAACTATGGCAAGTTCTTAAAGAACATGTCCATTCTGAAGGAAATGTATGGAAGTGAGAATTGGACCATAAAGAAGGCTGATCGCCGAAGAATGGATGCTTTTGAATTCTGGTGCTGGAGGAGACTCTGGAGAGTCCCATGGACTGCAAGAAGATCAAACCGATCCATTCTGAAGGAAATCAGCCCTGAGTGCTCACTGGAAGGACAGATCCTGAAGCTGAGGCTCCAAGACTTCCTCATGAGAAGAGAAGACTCCCTGGAAAAGACCCTGATGTTGGGAAAGATGGAGGGCACAAGGAGAAGGGGACGATAGGACAGATCCTGAAGCTGAGGCTCCAAGACTTTGGCCACCTCATGAGAAGAGAAGACTCCCTGGAAAAGACCCTGATGTTGGGAAAGATGGAGGGCGCAAGGAGAAGGGGACGACGGAGGAGGAGATGGTGGGACAGTGTTCTCAAAGGGACCAGCATGAGTCTGACCAAACTGCGGGAGGCAGTGGAAGACAGGAGGGCCTGGTGTGCTCTGGTCCAGGGGGCCACGAAGAGGCGGACACGACTAAAGAACATGGGCCCGATCCTGCAGGATCCTTTTACGCGCTTGGAAAGGACAGCCAAAGCCCAAAGAGATGCGCCACGGGAAATGATTGATTAACGGTGGAAATTTAAGGACTATTTGAATAAATATTGTAATGTAAAAAATTAGAAATTACTTGAAAGAAACAAATAGGCCTAGGATTAAACTAAGTTACAATTAAATAAATGGGATTTAGAATGTTAAGAAAAGTGAATAAGATGGACTATAATTGGAAATTGTTTGAGTTTAATAATGATATTGGAAAGCTGTTACTTTTAATTACAAGGAAACTCAGAAGGGAGGGACTTGAGGAAGTCAGTCAAGATGTTTAGAAGGTTGGATTTGTGAAGAATTAAGTTTGTTATTGTTTATCTGTTTATTGTTCCCTCCCCCCCTCTTTCTTTTTCTGTTTTTGTGTATCATTCTGCTTTGTGGTTTGTGTTATCACTGTGGAAAATCTAATAATTTTTTTTAAAAAAGGAAATGATTGATTAATGAAATGGAATAAACAAGCAAGTTAAAAGCCACTAAAGGCATCTGCCCAGGACGGACACTAGCTAAACCCGGCAAAAGTGTATTCCGAACAGCAGGAATGTTATCGACTCCTCACTAAACAAATGTAGAGGATAACTCTTGCTATCCCTGGAAGATAGGAGACTTTCACACTTTTCCCCCCCTCCGCAGAAGAAAAAACGATGTTTCACAATGAAGGCAGCGGTAAACAATGGCTGAAACAGTCCCAGCAGCTTTCTTGTCGGCTGCCCCCTAAGTCCGCCCCACTCCCAGAGGCCTTGTTGAGGACTCTCTCCCTCCCCACCCCACTCCAGCCGCCTGCCGGAGTTAGTTACCCTTGACCCCACAGATATTTGGAATTCCTGGGGGCTTGCAAGCCCCCCGTCCAGCCGCCCCGGAGTTCAAAGACCCGTTCTTCCTGACCCAGAGGAGAGAGAACGAGGGCAAGAGAGAAAGCAACTGCAAGGCTGGGGACAGGAGAGGGGGTCCCTTGAAACAGTGGTGGGCTTCCTGGGAGAGCAAGGAGGCTGGCCAAGGGGTCTTTGGGGAAAGACCCCTTTTCCCAGACCCCTTTGCTGCTTTTGAATCACGCCAGGGACCGCCGGGGAAAGGATAAAAAATAAAACTGCAATGCTTTTGCACAATTCTTTGGCGCATGTTTTCCTGCACTGTTCTGGTCGCCTCGCCCGAAAAAGGATGCGGAAAGAGCTGGGGAAGTTTCGGATAAGGGCCATCGAATCGATCAAGGGGCCGGGGCGATGCCAGGTTGCAGCATTTGGGGGCTTTTGGGTTCAGAGAAAAGGGAAGGGGAGAGGCAGCAGGGCGGAAATTTGCAAAACGGGGCATGGAAGTGGCTAGAGAAAGTTTTTTCCCTCTAACGTTCACAATGCTAGAAGTCCTGGGTATCCGATGAAACTGAATGTTGGGAGATTCAGGACTGTGGAACTCCCTGCCACTGTAGGCAGGAGTGGCCATGGACCTGGACGGCCTTAAAAGAGGATCAGGCAAATTCATGGAGGAGGAGAGGGCTATTGATGGCTACTTGTCAATATACCGTATTTTTTGCTCTGTAAGACTCGCTTTTTCCCTCCTAAAAAGTAAGGGGAAATGTGTGTGCGTCTTATGGAGCGAATGCAGGCTGCGCAGCTACCCCAGAAGCCAGAACAGCAAGAGGGATTGCTGCCTTCGCTGCGCAGCGACCCCTCTTGCTGTCCTGGCTTCTGGGATTCAGAATATTTTCTCTCTTTTTTTCTTCCTCCAAAAACTAGGTGCGTCTTGTGGTCTGGTGCGTCTTATAGAGAGAAAAATACGGGGTAGCTATGCTCTGCAACTTCTACAGTCGCAGAAAGCAATGCGTCCGAATGCCAGTTGACGGAAACCACTGGAAGGGAGAGTGCCGGTCTTGTGTTCAAATCCTGCTTGTGGATTCTCTGGGAACCGTAGCTCCACAAGTGGGAAAACTACAGTTCCCAGATGCTTTCAGGAGAAGTCTTGTGCTTTCAAAGCATCGCACAGAGGGGAACCTTAGGGCGTCAAAGGACAGAGTGTGGGAGAAGCTGTGATGATGATGTTAATAATAATAATTTTATTATGTATACCCCGCCCATCTGGCTGGGTTGCCAGACAAAAGACTCCGAGAGGAGGGAATCTGTCTGAGTCCCTGAAAGCGAGCACAGCGATCGCGGCCAACAGACACACATCCCTCTCTGACTGAGACGTGGCTCCTTCCCTGCAAACTGTTTACGTTTCCTGGTGCCTGATCCGCCGCCCTGGTTTTCTACGAAGCAAGGAATGCTGGAATGCGGTCTCTCTTCCTCGCAAGAAGGCGGCCTCTTCCACATGCTAAAGCTTCGGTGGCCCCTTTTGGCACCCTGCCCGCAGATCTGGTCTCTTCTTCTTCTTCTCAAAAAGGATATCGTAGCTTAAGAACGCAAGGAGAGCGCTGCTGGGAAGCCCCCATGCAACTGGGATTCGGAAGAATCGCTGGGAGGCAGACCAGAACCATCCATGGCTAGTAGCCATCGCTAGCCCTCGCCTCCTCCATGCCTTTGCCCAATCCTCTTTTGAAGCCATCCAAGTTGGATTCCTGTGGCAGGGAGTTCCACAGTTTAACTCTGATCTGCGCTGTGAAGAATTTTTCTTTTACTTGCCCTGAATCTCCCAGCATTCAGCTCCCACAAGTTATGGTGTCATGTGAGTGTAAGAAAAACTTTCTTCTACCCACTGTTCTTTCGTAAGCTTCCATCAAGCTGCCTCTTCCGAGCACAATGCAAAGTGTTGGTGCTGACCTTGAAAGCCCTAAACGGCCTCAAAGGCCCAGTAGATCTGAAGGAGTGTCTCCACCCCCATTGTTCTGCCCGGACACTGAGGTCCAACTCCTGCCGGTTCCCTCCCTGAGAGAAGTAAAGCTACAGGGAACCAGGCACAGGGCCTTCTGGGTGGTGGCGCCTGCCCTGTGGAACACCCTCCCACCAGATGTCAAAGAGAACAACAACTACCAGACTTTTAGACGACATCTGAAGGCAGCCCTGTTTGGGGAAGCTTTTAATGTTTAACAGACCACTGTATTTTAATACTTTGTTGGAAGCCGCCCAGGGTGGCTGGGGAGACCCAGCCAGATGGGTGGGGTATAAATAATAAATTATTATTATTATTCCTCGCCTTTTCTCCAAACTAAAAGTCCCCAAACACTGTATTGAGTCGCTCCATATCCCCTTGATCATGGTGGGCTGCGCTTTTCTGAATTTTTTCCAACTCTACAATATCCCTTTTGAGGCGAGGCAGCCAGAACTGCACACAAATGTTCCCAATGCGGCCGCGCCACAGATTTGTATCTCACTTCCAAATAGGTCTAGGCAGCATACTTTGTTCTCGCCCTGCTCTCTGCTTTATCCTCACAACAGCCCTGTGAGGCTGGAGGCTGGATGGCGGCTAATGAATTGAGGCTGAATCCTGACAAGACAGAAGGACTGTTTTGGGGGGACAGGGGGCGGGCAGGTGTGGGAGACTCCCTGGTCCTGAATGGGGCAACTGTGCCCCCGAATGACCAGATGCACAGCCTGGGAGTCATTTTGGACTCACTGCCGTCCATGGAGGCGCAGGTCAAATCTGTGTCCAGGGCAGCTGTCTTCCAGCTCCATCTGGTACGCAGGATGAGACCCTCCCTGCCCGCAGACTGTCCAGAGTGATGCATGCTCTGGTTATCTCCCGCCTGGACTACTGCCATGCGCTCTATGTGGAGCTACCTTTGAAGGTGACCCGGAAACTACAACTAATCCAGAATGCGGCAGCCAGACTGGGGACTGGGAGTGGTCACTGAGACCACATAACACCAGTCTTGAAAGACCTACATTGGCTCCCAGTACGTTTCCGAGCACAATTCAAAGTTTTGGTGCTGACCTTGAAAGCCCTAAACGGCCTCAAAGGCTCAGTATCCCTGAAGGAGCATCTCCATCCCCATCGTTCGGCCCGGACACGGAGGTCCAGCTCCGAGGGCCTTCTGGCGGTCCCCTCCCTGCGAGAAGCCAAGTTACAGGGAACCAGGCAGAGGGCCTTCTTGGTAGTGGCGCCCGCCCTGTGGGAATCCCTCCCATCAAATGTCAAAGAGATAAACAACTACCTGACATTTATAAGACATTTGAAGGCAGCCCTGTTTAGGGAAGTTTTTAAGGTGTGACATTTTAATGTATTTTTAATCTTTGTTGGAAGCCGTCCAGAGTGGCTGGGGAAGCCCAGCCAGATGGGTGGGGTACAAATAATAAATTATTATTATGTGAAGTAGGTCAAGCCAAGAGGCCCTGACTGACCCCTCAAGATCCCCTCTTTCATAGCTGAGCGAGGATTCGAACCCGTGCTGGCCTACCCTTCAGGGTTGTTGATGTGAGGGCAGAACCACTACCTGAGAACTTCTTCGATGAAAAGCAGGAGCGAAATTCAGTTCATAACCAGCGACGGGAGATTTAGAGAATGATGTTTATAGCGTGGCACTGATAACACCAAGTTTTCAGGTTCGATACCCGTATGGGACAGCTACACATTCCTGCATTGCAGCGGGTTGGGCTAGATGACCGTCGGGGTCCCTTCCAACTCTACAATTCTATGACTCATGGCCTGGAGGGAGAAGAGTATTCTCCCTTGGTCTCACAATAGTCTTTTTCATCCATTTGAAGTCAACAGTCAGTAGATTTAGGTCAGATCCCCCCCCCCCACAAAAAACCCCCTAAAGGCTTGAGGGAAGTCCTTGGTTATAGAATCAATAATTAACTTCACAAAGTTGTGTGCCAGAAGATCCCATGATGGCAAGTCCTGGATGGGAGCCAGAGTCCATCCTATAATGTGTTGGAAGCCACACAGAGCTGGGGCAACACAGCAAGACGGGCAGGGCATAAATAAAATAAATAAAATCTTCATCATCTTTGAACAGCGTCAGCACCGAGAGCTCAGAGTCTTGGCTACCCCTTTGCACCTTTCTGGCTTCCCATTTACTCGCCTCCTTTATTTATTTATTGCCGTCTGTGTGTTTTTATGTTGTGAGATTCCCCGCAATCTGCTGACGAAGGGCAGTACAGTGGTACCTCGGTTTAAGAACTGTCCGGTTTAGGAACGATTTGGTTTGCAAACTCTGCAAAACCGGAAATAGTGTCTTGGTTTGAGAACTTCGCCTCGGTCTAAGAACGGAATCCGAATGGTGGAAGGGCACCGGCGGTGGGAGGTCTCATTAGGGAAAGCCTGCCTCGGTTTAAGAACGGTTTTGGTTTAAGAACGGACATCCGGAATGGATTAAGTTTGTAAACCAACGTACCACTGTATACAGATTGAATAAACAACATTTTCCCTCCTGGGGAAAAAACTGCTCTTTAGTGCTCAATCAGAGCAAACAGGAATCTGGGTTTCCCCCAGATTGCCATTTGTTCTGCTATATCACGAAGAGCGGGTTTTCCCTTGGAAAGGAGAGGAGGTCAAGGGGGAAACTCATTGGACCCATGCTTAGAAAGCGTGGGTCAAGCGTGAAACTGTCAGGACTTGTGCTTTCTAGGCACAGCACATGGGCAAGTGTGGAGGTGCCCTGTAGGTAGGTAGGTAGGTAGGTAGGTAGATAGATAGATAGATAGCAGAGGGCCTTCTCGGTGGTGGCCCCCACCCTGTGGAAGGCCCTCCCACCAGATGTCAAAGAGAACAACAACTACCAGACTTTTAGAAGACATCTGAAGGCAGCCCTGTTTAGAAAAGCTTTTAGTGTTTGATGCATTACTGTATTTTAATATTTTATTGGAAACTGCCCAGAGTGGCTGGGAAGCCCAGCCAGATGCGCAGGGTATAAATAAATTATTATTATTATTATTATTATTATTATTATTATTATTATCATTGATAGACGTATATAACTGAGATCAATGACGAAATACAGTCCTGCCTCGGCTTACGTTACCCTCGGGTAATGTAAACTTTGGGTTGCGAAAGCGGCAAACACAGAAGTATTGGGTTTTGGCGCTCGCGCATGCACAGAAACAACACCTCTGGTTGCGGGAAGCTTGGGATCCAGCCGGAGCTCCGGAACGGATCCCATCCACAACCAGAGGTAAAGGTAAAGGGACCCCTGACCATTAGGTCCAGTAGTGACCGACTCTGGGGTTGCGGCGCTCATCTCGCTTTATTGGCCGAGGGAGCCGGCGTACAGCTTCCGGGTCATGCGGCCAGCAGGACTAAGCCGCTTCTGGCGAACCAGAGCAGCACACGGAAACGCCGTTTACCTTCCCACCGGAGTGGTACCTATTTATCTACTTGCACTGGTGTGCTTTCGAACTGCTAGGTTGGCAGGAGCAGGGACTGAGCAACGGGAACTCACCCCGTCACGGGGATTTGAACCGCCAACCTTCTGATCAGCAAGCCCTAGGCTCTGTGGTTTAACCCACAGCGCCACCTGCGTCCCCAACTGGAGGTACCACTGTAATAATCATAACGACGCTCCTCCTCTGCGGGGCATCCTCACCTCGGCACTTGGTGTTCTCCTCGGACGGCTCGTGTCCGGCCGCGCAGGTGCAGTCGGTGACGGTCTGTTCGGCCCACTCCCCGTCCTCGCGGCAGTACATGCTGAGTGGCCGGGCGCTGACCTTGACGGCGTTGGGCACGCACCGGCCGGCCACTGGCATGACCAGCTCGCGGGGCACCGTCTCCTGGAAGAGGGTGAAGTTGACGGTGACAGCGGGACACTTCTTGTAGAAGAGTCGGACAGAGAGCAGAGCCATGCAAGCTCCCTGGTCCTGGAAGGCGAGGTAGAAGCCGGCCTTGGAGAGGGGTCCGATCTTGAGGGTCTTGACGTTGACCTTCCCGGAGGCCTCCATGCCCGCTCGCTTGCGCGTCAGGTGCTCGGCCGCCACCGTGTCCACCTTGACGTAGGGGTTCTCCATCCAGGGCGGGAAGGACTCGGTGGCCAGGTCGCGGTCGGCCTCGTAGAAGAAGACGTTGAAGGTCTCCTTGCAGGAGCGCGTGACCTGCGGGATGGAGAAGCACTCCACCACCGTGAAGCGCAGCTCGGCGTAGACGTGCGTGGCCCCCGAGCGAGGGACAAAGGTGGTGCGCAGCCAGTTGTTCTGGTTCGGGGAGCGGACGCCGCACACCTCGAAGGTGCGGACGCTGTTCTGCTCCTCGTCCAGCCCGCTCAGCTCCTCCCACTGCCACAAAGAGAGAGAGAGAGAGGACATTTTGAAAGTGTGTCGGGTGTTCAGAGCAACCCAAGCCGGTGGCCTTCTCGATGTTTTGGGCCACGGATCCAATTAGCCCCGTCAGCACGGCCATTTTGGAAAACGGTTCTCATCAGCCCCTGCCAGCACGGCCATTTGGGGCCACACTTCCCATCAGCCCCTGTCAGCACGGCCATTGGGTCCACACTTCCCATCAGCCCCTGTCAGCACGGCCATTGGGGCCACACTTCCCATCAGCCCCTGTCAGCAAGGCCATTTATGGCTACACTTCCCATCAGCCCCTGTCAGCACGGCCATTGGGGCCACACTTCCCATCAGCCCCTGTCAGCACGGCCATTGGGGCCACACTTCCCATCAGCCCCTGTCAGCACGGCCATTGGGTCCACACTTCCCATCAGCCCCTGTCAGCACGGCCATTGGGGCCACACTTCCCATCAGCCCCTGTCAGCACGGCCATTGGGGCCACACTTCCCATCAGCCCCTGTCAGCACGGCCATTGGGGCCACACTTCCCATCAGCCCCTGTCAGCACGGCCATTGAGACTACATTTCCCATCAGCCCCTGTCAGCACGGCCATTGGGGCCACACTTCCCATCAGCCCCTGTCAGCAAGACCATTGGGGCCACACTTCCCATCAGCCCCTGTCAGCACGGCCATTGGGGCCACACTTCCCATCAGCCCCTGTCAGCACGGCCATTGGGGCCACACTTCCCATCAGCCCCTGTCAGCACGGCCATTGGGGCCACACTTCCCATCAGCCCCTGTCAGCACGGCCATTGAGACTACACTTCCCATCAGCCCCTGTCAGCACGGCCATTGAGACTACACTTCCCATCAGCCCCTGTCAGCAAGGCCATAGGGGCCACACTTCCCATCAGACCCTGTCAGAACGGCAATTGGGGCCACACTTCCCATCAGCCCCTGTCAGCACGGCCATTGGGGCCACACTTCCCATCAGCCCCTGTCAGCAAGGCCATTGGGGCCACACTTCCCATCATCCCCTGTCAGCACGGCCATTTGGGGCCACACTTCCCATCATCCCCTGTCAGCACGGCCATTTATGGCTACACTTCCCATCAGCCCCTGTCAGCATGGCCATTGGGGCCACACTTCCCATCATCCCCTGTCAGCACGGCCATTTATGGCTACACTTCCCATCAGCCCCTGCCAGCACAGCCGTACGATGCAAAGGCCCATGGGAGTTGTAGTCCAAACCTACTGGAAGGCGCCATGTTGGGGAAGCTCTTCTCAGGGTGCCAAAAAACTCCCTTTTTCTTCTCGTTTCCTGGGCTGCTCACAGTTAAATCCCGACCCATCTACGTCTGGAGCGTTATTTCTTTTGTTCTGAGATTTGAGCTGCTGTTTTTAATAATCTGGCTTCATCTTTAAACTGTGCTTTTAACCGTTCAGCGATCTGAAAGCCTAACGAACACACCCTGCAATAAACCGATTCGGAGGGCTTTAAAAGAGGATTTTATGTTCAGCTTCATTGGCTGACAAGTCCTGTTTGTGGGCTTCCTATAACTGGCCTCTGTTTGGCCAGTATGATGCTGGACTAGATGGGTCCCACTTTGCCCTGACCCAGATCTTTAAAAAAAAATTAAAAAAAATTATTAGTATTGCAGGGGGTTGGTCTAGATGACCCGCTGGCCCCCTTCCAACCCTACAGCTCTGCTGTTCTATTATTTCCTCGCCTCCCACAAACATACAGATCTCGAGGCGACGCACGAGATGCAAATAAAAAGAATTGCATGCAACAGTTTATAGAGAAGGGGAGTTTTTAAAAACAGCAGAAAACGCAGCAGAGAAACATTCGTTCAGCTGCGAAAGCTTGTTGGAATAATAAAAAAAAGTCTCCAATTGTTTCCAGAAGGAGCAGATAGCAGGCGCCGGCCAGATCCCAACAGGAATGCTGATCCACCCAGCAAGAGCCACGCTGAAAGCCCTGCTCCAAGTTACAGAGGGGATTTTGAGATCTGGAAGGGCTGCAGTCACTCAGGACCAGAGGAAAATGCACTCTGCATACACCCAGAGGCACTCCTGCTCACCCCGCTTCCCATTCCAGTCCCAAACGCACTCTGCATACACCCAGAGGCACTCCTGTTTACCCCGCTTCCCATTCTGATCCCAAACGCACTCTGTATACACCCAGAGGCATTCCTGTTTACCCCGCTTCCACTTCCGATCCCAAACGTGCTCTGTATACGCCCAGAGGCATTCCTGTTCACTCCGCTTCCCATTCCGATCCCAAACGCGCTCTGTATACGCCCAGAGGCACTCCTGTTTACCCCGCTTCCCATTCCGATCCCAAACGCGCTCTGTATACACCCAGAGGCACTCCTGTTCACCCCGCTTCCAATTCCAGTCCCAAACGCGCTCTGTATACCCCCAGAGGCACTCCTGTTTACCCCGCTTCCAATTCTGTTCCTAAACCTGCTGCCGCACACCACAAATGACGAGAATTACCGTATTTTTCGCTCTATAGGGCGCACCGGACCATAGGACGCACCTCGTTTCAGAAGGGGGAGAACAAGGAAAAAAAACTCTCCCCCTCTCTGCCCAGCGCCCCTTCAGCGAAGCGGCAGGAGGCGCTGCGCAGAGAGGGGGAGAATATTTTTTTCTTGTTCTCCCCCTCTAAAACAAGGTGCCGTTCAAGGTGCGTTCAGTCGCCTTCAGGCGGCTACCTTGGAAGCCCGGAGAGCGAGAGGGGTCAGTGCGCAACGACCCCTCTCACTCTCCAGGCTTCAGTGAAGGCAACCCGAAGCCTCCGGAGCGCGGCGGGAGTTTCCGCTGCGCTCTGGAGGCTTCAGGTTCCTTTCAACCTACTCTTTGGGGCTGGTGTGCGGAAGCCCACCGCCAGCCCCAAAGAGCAGGTCGGGGAGCAGCGGAAAGGCGCGCAGCCTTCCCGCTGCTCCGCGAGCTTCTTGGAGCTGCCAGGGAAGCCCAGATTCCCCCCCCCCCCAGCCCCAAAGAGCAAAGAAGCCAAGACAGCGAGCGGGATCCATCCCGCTGGCTGTCTTGGCTTCTGCCATAGCCATGCACAGCCTGTCCAGCAGGGAGAGGCTGCGCACGGCTATGGCTTCTTTAGCCCCGCGCAACCTCTCCGGCTGGTGAGGCTGCGCGCGGCTATGGCAATACCCCCACCTCCCGCAAAAGCCCACAGGAGCCACGCACCCTTTAAGGAGCGCACGGCTCCTGTGGGCTTTTCTACGAGGAGGGAGAAGGGACTGACTGGCCGCATCAGTCCCTTCTCCCTCCTGGGGAAAAACCCGCAAGAGCCGCGCGGAGCTTGTGGGGGGCTTTTCCTGCCTGCCTCCCCCCTGCATTCGCCCCATAGGACGCACACACATTTCCCCTTCATTTTTGGCGGGGAAAAGTGTGTCCTACAGAGCGAAAAATACGGTAACGGCCTCTGGGTTTCTCAACCTGCTTTCCCCACACTCCCTTTCCAAAAGCTGGGAAGTTTCACATTTATAATAAAAAACTTTCTGCCTCAGGGTTTCCTGCCAGGCAGGCGATTGGGCTATGATTATTTCTATTATTTCTTCCCACCCACCTAGCAGACCTTGGCCCCGACTCTCTGAGCTGACGGAAGACATGAGGCAACTGGACCCGAGGGAGGTCAGGGACTTTGATTATCTATTGATTTTTGAATGTTATTGTTATTCACGTTTTCATACATGTTTTATGCTGCTTTTATAATTGAGTGTTTAAAAGTGTTTTAAATTTGTTGTTAGCCGCCCTGAGCCCGGTTTTTGAACCGGGAAGGGTGGGGTATAAATAAAATAAAATTATTATTATTATTATTATTATTATTATTATCCCACCTTCCCGCTGCCTCACCTGCCCATCCGCAGGATACGTCATCCATCGAAGGTCCACTGTCTCCAACTTGGTGTTCATAAGACTCTCTGAAAGAGAGAGAGAGACAGGATTTGATTGATGTTGGAGTGAGACCGAGTTGAGAAACAAGACTAAGAGCACATATTGATATAGGAACATATTAGATAATATGTAAAGATACATACAATAACAAGAGAACATTCATTTGTAAAAAAAGGAATATACAACAGGAAAGACAGGAAGTTTAGTGTGTTGGTGGGTATATGATTTTGGGGGGCAATTTTTTTTCGTATTTTCTCCTTTTTTTGTTTCATCTTCTTTCTAGGTACCGGTATATAAAATTTGTATATAATTTTTGTACACATGTTGGAAATTATAGTTAAGTCCTGTAATGTAATAGGACAACGTTTACCGATGTAATATAAGAATGTTAACAAATAAATAAAATGCAAATTCAAAAAGAAAGAAAGAGAGACAGAAAAGCTGAGAATTCTGACATTCATTATTTTATTTTTGCCAGGATTCGACTTGCACAGAACGTTGCGACGGAGAGAACCAGAAGGGGTTAATGATCTACAGAGGAATGCGGGAACTACAGTCCCGGGGGGCCGAATGCCATTCCCCACCTGGCCCTCGGATGCCTCCCCTAGTAGCCAACACCCTTTACTGGCCCTGCTTTGTATAGCACTTGAGTTTATTTGCCACCAAATCGTTTTGCAAGCTTTTGAGCGCCACAGAACTCTTTGTCACCTCTTGATGAGGAGTTCTGTGTAACTGGAGAATATGATGAAAACGATGTATAGATGGTATATGTGTCCTCTCCTCCATGCTTTTTAACATCTATATGCAGCCGCTGGGAGAGATCATCAGGGGGTTTGGGCTGGGTGTCCATCAATATGCGGATGATACCCAGCTCTACCTCTCTTTCAAATCAGAACCAGTGAAGGCAGTGAAGGCCCTGTGTGAGTGTCTGGAGGCAGTTGGAGGATGGATGGCGGCTAACAGATTGAGGTTGAATCCTGGCAAGACAGAAGTACTGTTTTTGGGAGACAGGAGGCGGGCAGGTGTGGGGGACTCCGTTCCTGAATGGGGCAACTGTGCCCCCGAAGGACCAGGTGCGCAGCCTGGGAGTCATTCTGGACTCACCGCTGTCCATGGAGGCACAGACCAGTTCTGTGTCCAGGGCAGCTGTTTACCAGCTCCATCTGGTACGCAGGGTGAGACCCTCCCTGCCCGCAGACTGTCTCGCCAGAGTGGTGCATGCTCTGGTTATCTCCCGCTTGGACTACTGCAATGTGCTCTACGTGGGGCTACCTTTGAAGGTGACCTGGAAACTGCAACTAATCCAGAATGCGGCAGCTAGACTGGGGACTGGGAGACCACATAACACCAGTCCTGAAAGACCTCCATTGGCTCCCAAGATGTTTCCAAGCACAATTCAAAGTGTTGGTGCTGACCTTGAAAGCCCTAAATGGCCTCAAAGGCCCAGTAGACCTGAAGGAGCGTCTCCACCCCCATCCTTCAGCCCGGACACTGAGGTCCAGCTCCGAGGGCCTTCTGGCGGTTCCCTCCCTGCGAGAAGCCAAGTTACAGGGAACCAGGCAGAGGGCCTTCTCGGTGGTGGCACCCGCCCTGTGGAACACCCTCCCACCAGATGTCAAGGAAATAAACAACTACCTGACTTTTAGAAGACATCTGAAGGCAGCCCTGTTTAGGGAAGTTTTTAATGTTTAATAGGTTATTGTATTTTAGTGTTTTGTTGGAAACCGCCTAGAGTGGCTGGGGAAACCCAGCCAGATGGGCAGGGTATAAATAATAAATTATTATTATTATTATATTATATGACACCTGTGAAATTAGCTAAAATGTATAAGACAAATAGCAAATGTTGGAAACGTAAAGAAAAAGAAGGAACATTTTATCATATGTGGTGGGAATGTAAAAAAGTAAAGGACTTCTGGGGAATGATATATAAAGAGATGAAAAAGATGTTGAAATATACATTTTTTAAAAAACCAGAAGCCTTTTTTACTCAGTCAGGATATTAATAGGCAAGATGGTAAATTGATTTTATATGCAACAACAGCGGCAAGAGTGTTGTTAGCCCAGAAATGGAAGCAAGAAGAAATTCCGACAAAGGAAGAATGGCAGACAAAATTAATGGACTACGCAGAATTGGGCAAAATGAGAGGAAGGATTTGAAACCTGCGGGACCAGAGATTCACAGAAGAAGTATATGAATTATTTGAAGAGCAATTGTAATCAACAAATTACGCTAGTAGGACTACAAGAAGTTTTATAAGGAAAAACCTATGACACGTTACAAACTGGAAAAGAACAGATATATTAGTCATGAGATTTAAAAGTAATAGGGAAAATAAGAAATGTATATTAAGTGATTAGATTGGAAAATTTTCAGACGAGATTGATGGAAGTCCAAAAATTTGTATACGATGTATAAGTATGTTTACTTATTGTTGAAAACGATACGTTAAAATTAATAAAAAATGATGTATAAGAAGAGTTCTGTGTAACTGGGAAGCTTGCGCACATCCTATAAAGCCACTGCCCTAATGCGGATTTGGGGATTACGGGTCAACAGGCTTTCAGGGTCAAAATGTTATCTTAGTAAAAAACAAGCCATCTAAATCCCTTAAATCTCAACCTTCGGGAAAGTTTGCGTTTCTCGTTAAAAGGGCAAATCGCCGGGACAATAAATGTTGACGTTTTGAGGTTCGGCGTTACAGATCAGTCACTGATCTCACTGCCTAAGGTGCAAATTATTATAATCATTAACGATGAGAGTGATTATTTTATTATTCGCACCCTGCCCATCTAAGTTGCCCCAACATATATAAAAATATATTTGCTTTTGGCAAACGCTGGAGTCGCCCATCTTCACCCCAATTGGTCACCAGTGAATAGTGTGTTTTTCAAGGCCCACGCCAATTCCCAAGACTGCAATTTCTTTTAACGGTTTCTAATTCTGAATTTTAAACTGCCGCATCCCTCCCGGGGCACCTGCTGGTGAAGCAACAGACGTCATATTACTAACCAATAATAATAATTAATAATCATAATAATGGGTGCTGGCAGACTTTCTGTGGTTTATTTAGCAACGCATCCGCACAGATGGCAAATTGCATCCAAAATATGATTTCATCCGGCGATGGTTTTGATTACAAGAGTTCTAGATCCGCTGTTTAGGCTCTTATCTATCCCGCTAAATATCCCTTTTAACATTTCTCTTTATATCTTTCATTTCCTGACCCTGTATCCCTGACCTGTGAGTTTGCCTCCCTTTCGCTGGAATACGTACGCCGTTCGTCTTGTTTTACGTTTAATGAAATTTAACGCTTTAAAAGAGTCTCTTGAATCAGGTCGTGAGCCAAGATATCTCCAATGTTATCGATTCAGATGCCTGCTTGCTTGAGGAAATGCAAGTCAGGAAGGTTTTTTTCTTTGCAGGGGTTTGTGTTTTCTTTATTCTTCGTGTCTTTTAAGACATGTTAAAAGCCTCGCGGTTTATAAATCTGCCTGTCCACCTGTTGAGTTTGGAAAAAATGGGGGGAGCAGGAGCATGGGGCATTTTTTTGGGGGGTGGAATCTGTGAATCCAGGACGCCTGGGTCCTCTGAAGGAGGAGCAGATCAGAGCTTCATTCCCGTCTCCTCCTCACGAGGAAGCCGCAAGACGTTACCTTAAAAGTGTTCAGAAGCAAGGCATTGCAAAGGAAGATGGGAGTGCACAATGAACGCAGCAATATTAACAACAGCAATGAAGTATTATTCCTTCCTAGAATCGCAGACCTGGAAGGGACACCGGAGGGTCATCCAGATCAACCCCCCTGCAATGGAGCAATCTCAACACACGGTCTCCCATCTAATGTTAAACCGGGCCAGACCCTGCTTAGCTTGGCAAACGCGCCAGCAGGCTCATCGCCCCAGCACTTAAAACCGTTTCAAAACAAAACCTTGTTAAAGGAGGTCAGACGCGGAATAGGCATTTAAAACAGGCATTCGGAAGGGAACAAAATTGCATCTTAAACAAGAGAGAGCGTCTCTGCTGCCGTTGCTGCCAAAGGTCCCCTTTTTAAAATTGTACCTTCTCACTGAGTGACAGCCGCAGATGTTGGGTGCAATTCATTTTTAAAGGGTGCAAATTCCCAAGAGAATTTGCTTCATGTAATATCTATCTACCTATGCAGATGACACAACCTTGATGGCAGAAAGTGAGGAGGAATTAAAGAACCTTTTAATGAGGGTGAAAGAGGAGAGCGCAAAATATGGTTTGAAGCTCAACATCAAAAAATCGAAGATAATGGCCACTGGGCCCATCACCTCCTGGCAAATAGAAGGGGAAGAAATGGAGGCAGGGAGAGATTTTACTTTCTTGGGCTCCATGATCACTGCAGATGGTGACAGCAGCCACGAAATTAAAAGACGCCTGCTTCTTGGGAGAAAAGCGATGACAAACCTAGACAGCATCTTAAAAGCAGAGACATCACCTTGCCAACAAAGGTCCGTATAGTAAAAGCCATGGTTTTCCCAGTAGTGATGTATGGAAGTGAGAGCTGGACCATAAAGAAGGCTGATCGCCGAAGAATGGATGCTTTTGAATTCTGGTGCTGGAGGAGACTCTTGAGAGTCCCATGGACTGCAAGAAGATCCAACCTCTCCATTCTGAAGGAAAGCAGCCCTGAGTGCTCACTGGAAGGACCAGATCCTGAAGCTGAGGCTCCAAGACTTTGGCCTCCTCATGAGAAGAGAAGACTCCCTGGAAAAGACCCTGACGTTGGGAAAGATGGAGGGCACAAGGAGAAGGGGACGACGGAGGACGAGATGGTGGGACAGTGTTCTGGAAGCGACCAGCATGAGTTTGACCAAACTGCGGGAGGCAGTGGAAGACAGGAGTGCCTGGCGTGCTCTGGTCCAGGGGGTCAGGAAGAGGCGGACATGACTAGACAACTAAACAACAACAAAAATCTATCTATCTATCTATCTATCTATCTATCTATCTATCATCTATCTATCTATCTATCTATCTATGCACCTTGCCAGCCAGGTGGTCCAGAAATCCGGGCTGAAATCCACACCCACAAAACCCCTGATCTTGTTTTTTCACACAGACCAAAAAGGGGAAAAAAACGCTGAGCCAATTCCCGTTCCCTCTCCCCTCGCACAATTGCACGAGGTTCTGGGAACGGCGCTGACTCCCAAAGGGTCAAAGGTGGTCACTCGGTGGCGGCATATTTATAAAAAGCCGGACTCGCGTCATTTCCTCAAACAGGCTCTGCGGCTGCCGCCACCGCCCAGGGCTAGGAAGACAACTCCCACCATTTCACCAACACACGTGCCCCCCCCTTACATCATCTGCATCTGACGCCTCCCTGTCCCCCTTTATCTGCTTTCTGGAATTTTTTATTTTAAAAAGTCCTTCTCCGACGCGCCGTTCAACTGTGGAACTCCCTCCCACAGGAATAACCGGGCAGCTTCAGAAGAGGGTTTTTCCTTTTCCCCATGGGGACGCAACTCTGCTGCACGAGAGTCCTCCCCGCTTCAGTTGTGCAAAGTGAAGCACACAGTTAGCCTGCGGAACTCCCTCCCACTTGAGGCAGCCACTTTCAAAAAGAGGGCCATTAAGGAGAGGGCTGTCCACAAACTACTAGCCAGGATGGCTATACTACGTCCTGCACAACTGGAGGCAGCAAGGCGACCGAATGCTGGAAACCGCAGGAGGGGAGAGCGGGTCTTGGGTTCGAATCCTGTTTGAGGATTTTAGGGCAGCTGGTCAGCCACTTTGAGGGCAGGATGCAGGTGGTCCAGGGACCTGATCCGGCTAAAGCTAACAACCCCCCCAGCTCCCCTCAATGCAAACCAGGGTGTGTGTGTGTTTGCATCCCCCAGCTCACGAAAAAAATTCTTGGTTCATGGTGGCAAAGGGATGGATACCTGAATAGGGCTCTCTGCCTCTGCCAAGGTCTCCCGAGAAAACAAAAGGGCCCTTTGTTTGAGCAAGCCCCCCGCCCACCCTTTCTCCCCCATGTTGGAAGGGGAGGGGGGTCTCAAAAGCGCGACTTGAGCAGAGGACCATGGGAGTCAAGATGGGAAAGGGTTTTGCGAATGCAAGAAGAGCTCGCTGGATCAGGGCCCCAGCTAGGCCAGCATCCTGGCCAACCGGACACTGCAATGGGAAACCCAGAAAGCAGGATTCGAATAATAATAATAATAATAATTTACTATTTATACCCGGCCCATCTGGCTGGGCGTCCCCAGCCACCCTGGGCGGCTTCCAACAGAATATTAAAATGCAGTAATGCGTCAAACATTAAAAGCTTCCCTAAACAGGGCTGCCTTCAGATGTCTTCTAAAAGTCAGATAGTTGTTTATTTCCTTGACATCTGAAGGGAGGGCGTTCCACAGGGTGGGTGCCACCACCGAGAAGGCCCTCTGCCTGGTTCCCTGTAACTTGGCTTCTCGCAGGGAGGGAACCGCCTGAAGGCCCTCGGAGCTGGACCTCAGTGTCCGGACAGACACTCCTTCAGGTCTACTGGGCCTTTGAGGCCGTTTAGGGCTTTAAAGGTCAGCAGGTGCTGTGGGTTAAACCACAGAGCCTAGGACTTGCTGATCAGAAGGTCGGCGGTTCGAATCCCCGCGACGGGGTGAGCTCCGGTTGCTCAGTCCCTGCACCTGCCAACCTAGCAGTTCGAAAGCACGTCAAAGTGCAAGTAGATAAATAGGTACCGCTCCGGCGGGAAGGTAAACGGAGTTTCTGTGCGCTGCTCTGGTGCGCCAGAAGCGGCTTAGTCATGCTGGCCACATGACCTGGAAGCTGTACGCCGGCTCCCTCGGTCAGTAAACCGAGTTGAGTGCTACAACCCCAGAGTCGGTCACGACTGGACCGAATGGTCAGGGGTCCCTTTACCTTTACCAACACTTTGAATTGTGCTCGGAAATGTACTGGGAGCCAATGTCGGTCTTTCTGGACCGGTGTTATGTGGTCTCCCAGTCCCCAGTCTAGCTGCCACATTCTGGATTAATTGTAGTTTTCGGGTCACCGGGTTCCAGTCCTGGTCGTTGTTGTTTTGCCACTGTCTTGCCACACAGCCTTTGGCCAATCCACTTCCCTGTTCCCAGTTCTCCCAAACAGGGGAAAGACAGCGGAAACATAGAGGGGGTCTTCCTCGCAGGGGGGTTGTCGAGAGGGCCAAAATGCCACAAAACCAATAAATTGCATTTTAAAAAAACAAAACAAAAAATTGCTTAATTAGCTGGTTTTCTGCTGAACCAACAGATTCAAGCTGCGAGAAAGGAGACTGGAATAATTTTCCGATGGGCACGTTCTGTGTTGGATGTGAAAGGTAACAAACGCAGTCTGGTAAACGATATATAATGAGTTGGGAAAAAATGTTTAAAATAACATTTGTGGGGAAAACCAGAGGCTTAGGTATTTTAGGCACAGAGATTCCGAAAGAGCAGAAAAGATTATTTATGTAGACTGCAGCAAGAATATTACTGGCCCAGAGATGGAAAGAAAATAAGGTTCCAACCAGAGAACGGCTGATGAAGACAATGGTCTATGCCGAAATGGCGAAACTGACCGTGAGAATCAGAGATCAGGACAAGAAGAAATTTACGAAAGAATGGGGGGGGAAATTTATAGTCTATTTAAGAGAACGTCGCAAGCAGTAAAAGGATTGGAGTAATACTTGTAAAGGACAAAATATATTGGAGAATTTAATAATAGAGAACAAATGGGGGGGGAATGATAAGTTGAATAAAAAAGGGATGGTCAAAGGATTCTGAGAATCCTAAATGTAAAGGTGATTGATATGTTTAAATCTGAGATTCCTGCGTTGCAGAGGGGGTTCAGCTGGATGACCTTTGGGGTCCCCCTTCCGACTCTATGGATCTAGCTAGTTGGTTTTGTTTGTTCCCTCTCTGGGAGCCATTCCGTCTCCACCAGGAGCCCTCAGGTCCTGACATTACACCGCCTGCCCCCCCCCCCCAATCTCCATTTCCTTCCTCGCCCTCCCCTCCGGCTTAGCCAATTCCTCCCCACCTGCCAGAAACTCTCCAGTCTGCCCCCCCCTTCCTGGAGGGCTCAGAGTTCGAGAAGATGCAAATTACACCCCCCAAAAAATAAACCCCACCCCAAAAAACCAGGCGTCCCCTGCTCCTCTTGCCCCCCATCCCAATTTGACGGACCAGACTAGATACAGAGGAAATTGGAAACAAAAGGAAGATTTTCCTCCTTCCTTCCTGTTTAACTCGCCCCCCCCCCGCAATCGCTGACTTTCTCACCCCCACCCACGAGATAAGCAAATAAGGGTGGGTGCCAGCAGGGAACTCTGGGTAATTACAGGGCGCCTCCGAGTTGCGACGCCCCAGGGGCCAAGGGGAGCGGGACAGGGGCCAAGTGGAAAATCATTAGGAGGCAGCTGGAGGGCGGAGGCGAGGGATGGGTGTCTGGGGGTGTTTCCACACTCCGGGCACCCGACATATTTGGCGTAAGACAGTGGCGGGACACCTGTTTGGCATGCAGAAGGCCCTTTCACAATCAGCCTCCTCGGCCATGAGGACTAGGAACCTGGTTTGTTTTATAACAATAATACTATAATAATTTTTATTTATACCCCGCCCTCCCCAGCCAAGGCCGGGCTCAGGGCGGCTAACAAGCAGTAACAAAAGCAAGTTGAATCAATACAGCTTAAAAACAAGATTAAAATACAACATTAAAATATTGAAACATTACAATATTAAAATGTAGCCTCATCACAGGAGGAGAAAGGAAAAAAGAAAAAAGAAAGAGGGGGAGGGAATCAAACTGATTCCAAGCCAAAGGCCAGGCGGAACAACTCTGTCTTACAGGTCCTGCAGAAAGAAATCAGATCCTGCAGGGCCCTGGTCTCATGAGACAGAGCGTTCCACCAAGCCGGGGCCAGTACTGAAAAGGCCCTGGCTCTGGTTGAGGCTAATCTGACTTCCTTAGGGCCCGGGACCTCTAGGGTGTTGCTATTTATGGACCTTGAGGCTCTCCGTGGGGCAGACCAGGAGAGGCGGTCCCGCAGGTACGAGGGTCCTAGGCCGTGAAGGGCTTTAAAGGTCAAAACCAGCACCTTGAACCTGACCCTGTACTCCACCGGGAGCCAGTGCAGCTGGAAAAGCACTGGGTGAATGTGATCCCACGGCAGAGACCCTGTAAGGAGCCTCGCTGCGGCATTCTGCACCCGCTGGAGTTTCTGGGACAGCTTCAAGGGCAGCCCCGCGTAGAGCGAATTACAGTAGTCAAGCCTGGAGGTGACCGTCATGTGGATCACTGTGGCCAGATCAGGGCGGGTCTGGCCTCAGCTCAGGGGCAAGAGAGCCTGCCTTGAGTGCAGAAGGGCCGAGGGGGGGGGGGAGTTCAATCCCTGGTGGCGTCTGCGGGTTGGGAGGGGAGGGTATCGACCAGGCGGGGGGGGGGGGAATGATGCACTGCTGCCAGTCCGAGCAGACATTACTGAGCTAGGTAGGGCACAACGGGTCTGGATCAGTAAAGCCCGCTTCCGAGGGGAAATAAAGACTGCTTGGTAGACCTGTAATAATAATAATAATATTATTATTTATTATCGATCTATTTATTTGTTTGTTTATTATTTATACCCCGCCCATCTGGCTGGGTTTCCCCAGCCACTCTGGGCGGCTTCCAACAAAACACTAAAATGCAATAACCTATTAAACATTAAAAGCTTCCCTAAACAGGGCTGCCTTCAGATGTCTTCTAAAAGCTTGGTAGTTGTTTTTCTCTTTGATATCTGGTGGGAGGGCGTTCTACAGGGCGGGCGCCACCACCGAGAAGGCCCTCTGCCTGGTTCCCTGTAGCTTTGCTTCTCGCAGGGAGGGAACCGCCAGAAGGTCCTCAGAGCTGGACTTCAGTGTCCGGGCAGAACGATGGGGGTGGAGATGCTCCTTCAGGTCTACTGGGCCTTTGAGGCTGTTTAGGGCTTTCAAGGTCAGCACCAACACTTTGAATTGTGCTCGGAAACGTACTGGGAGCCAATGAAGGTTTTTCAGGACCAGTGTTATGCGGTCTCGGCGGCCGCTCCCAGTCCCCAGTCTAGCTGCCGCAATCTGGATTAATTGCAGTTTCTGGATCACCTTCAACGGGAGCCCCAGGTAGAGCACATTGCAGTAGTCCAAGCGAGAGATAACCAGAGCATGCGCCACTCTGGCTAGACATTCTGCAGGCAGATAGGGTCTCATCCTGCGTACCAGATGGAGCTGGAAGACAGCTGCCCTGGACACAGAATTGACCTGAGTCTCCATGGACAGCGGTGAGTCCACAATGACTCCCAGGCTGCGCACCTGGTCCTTCAGGGACGCAGTCGCCCCATTCAGGACCAGGGAATCCTCCACACCTGCCTGCCTCCTGTCCCCCAGAAACAGCTCTTCTGTCTTGTCAGGATTCAACCTCAATCTGTTAGCTGCCATCCATCCTCCAACCGCCTCCAGACACTCACACAGGACCTTCACCGCCTTCACTGGTTCCGATTTGAAAGAGAGGTAGAGCTGTAAGACGAAGGCTGCACCAGCGCTTTCTGCATTGCGCGGGGTTGGGCTGGATGACCTTTGGGGTTCCCCTTCCGCCCCTACACAACTCTACAGCAAAGGATTTTTCCGGGGGAGCCAGGGCTGTTTTTAAATCCTGCTAGCAACACGCCGACAAGGCCTAACAGCAGATGCGGCAGTGGAAAGTTTCCGTAAATCTCCCCGTGCGACGGACTTTGCACGCCACACACGGCCCCACCCCATAGCAGACACCCCCTCCCCGATGCTGAGCGGCTTCGTTGCAGCCCGCCCCCTGCCAAACAACCCCCACCCGCCCGCCCCACGCATCAGCCCACACTCATTCCTGCCTAAATCCGTCCCAGATGTGCAAGGATGTGACTATACAAAGGGCGCCCCCCAAACGAGGATTCAGAAAAGAACGGGCCGGGGGGCGGGGGACGACCCACACGTGCCAGGACTCCTGGGTTCCCCGGAAAGCTAATGGGGCCCAGATTTTCTATGCAGGTTGCAGCAGGTTGAACGGGCAGCCGAGTCTTTGAATACTTATATTTCATTATTGCATATTTATGTGCTTTTTCCCCCCCCCCTCCGAGCAGCTCAAAAGGGAATCTACGTGGTTCTCTCCTCGGTCCTCACCTAACCCCAACAACAACAGCCCTGTAAGGGGCTGAGAGGAGCCCCTAAGGTCACGCCCGGCGGGCTTCCGGGCCGCCGGGTGGCGAGTTCGAATCCTGACCTCTCCCAGGTCCGGGTCCTCCGACACTCATTGCACCGAACTGCCTTTCACACAGCCGTCCTCCTTCCCCCCAAACCAAAGCGCCAACTTAATCGGAAGGCAAGAGGGCCGGCCGTTGCTCAGTTGGGTAAGAGCACCTGCTTGGAATGTAGAAGGGTCCCAGGTGCAAATCCCTCCAATGGCAGGGCGCTGCTGCCAGCCAGTGTAGGCTAGCTGTCTGGGGCTTTCCATCCGCGATTGCAAGTCCTAACTCCAACCGGTCCTGGCCAGCAAAACTTGAATTTGGAAAACGTTTTTCCAAATCTTCTAATTGCATTACGCATTTTCTTATCGTTACCAGCAACAGCGGCCTCCGACGAGAGAAGTTTTGATATATTAAAAAGCAATAAGTCTCAACAACGGCTCACGAACGCCTAAACGGTTTAGCAATGATAAACATAAACCACGATAAGGTGAAGTTGCTTGATTTTTCAAGAATTCGCAGAAAAGAAAGTTAGGAAAGCATGCACAAAATATGGTCTGAAGCTCAGCATCAAAAAAACGAAGATCATGGCCACTGGTCCCATCACCTCCTGGCAAACATAAGGGGAAGAAATGGAGGCAGTGAGAGATTTTACTTTCTTGGGCTCCACGATCACTGCAGATGGTGAGAGCAGTCACGAAATTAAGAGACGCCTGCTTCTTGGGAGAAAAGCAATGACAAACCTAGACAGCATCTTAAAAAGCAGAGACATCACCTTGCCAACAAAGGTCCGTATAGTTAAAGCTCTGGTTTTCCCAGTAGTGATGTATGGAAGTGAGAGCTGGACCATAAAGAAGGCTGATCGCCGAAGAATTGATGCTTTTGAATTCTGGTGCTGGAGGAGACTCTTGAGAGTCCCATGGACTGCAAGAAGATCCAGACCTCTCCATTCTGGAAGGAAATCAGCCCTGAGTGCTCACTGGAAGGACAGATCCTGAAGCTGAGGCTCCAAGACTTTGGCCACCTCATGAGAAGAGAAGACGCCCTGGAAAAGACCCTGATGTTGGGAAAGATGGAGGGCACAAGGAGAAGGGGAGGACAGAGGACCAGATGGTGGGACAGTGTTCTCGAAGCTACCAGCATGAGTTTGACCAAACTGCGGGAGGCAGTGGAAGACAGGAGTGCCTGGCGTGCTCTGGTCCAGGGGGTCACGAAGAGGCGGACACGACTAAACGACTCAACAACAACAACTTAAAATAATCCTTTTCCCTATGTGTTTTTAAAAAGCACTATTGTATTATTTTCCATTTCGTCCTTATACGCAGATACAGTTCAAGCCTTGAAATGAAATTATTTGTCAGCTGTAGACCAGAGACATCAGGCGGAAGGGACCTCGATGTACCGCTAGCCTGACTTGGGAGTATCGCAGCCTAGTGTAAAAGGAGAGCGTGCAGGATCAGGTCCAAGAAGGTCCATCTAAGTCCGGCCTCCTGCTCCCGGAGTGGCCAAATACCCCTTAGAACTTAGGAATCTAAGATAGACTGGCTCTGGAGCTGGAGGATCCATTAGGACCTCAGAAGAGCCCGGCTGCAGGATCAGGCCCATGGCCCATCTGGTCCAGCATCCTATTCTTACAGGGGCTGTCGACCAGACGTCCATTGTGGCAGGATCCGAACCCAAGACCAGAACTCTCCCCTCTCGTCGTCCCCGCCAGCTGACATTCAGAAGCATGGCTGCCTCTGACTGGCGGGCCTTATCCTCCGTGAACTTCTCTGATCCTCCGCCAAAGCCATGCAGTGGCAGGGAGTTCCACAGGCTTAGCTACGCACTGCATGAAAGTGGAGGGGCAGAGTGTAGCCATTGCGGCTAGTAGCTTTCAACTGCATTTTTCCTCGCTTGCCTTTTCCTTAAACTAAAAAAAAAGCGCCACAAGGCAGGGGGATTCGAACCCGCAACCGGGCGCGCTAACCACTAGGCCGTCCAGCTCGCAGCCGGCTCCTCCAGAGTCGCAAGCAGGGTGGGAGAAAGGGAGAGAAGCCATCGCCACACCCTGCCCTGCGTGCGTGGAGACTTTTTATTAATTAAATCCAGGGCACGGCTCCCAGCGCACTCGTTAATGCGCTCCTCGCATGGTTTAATTACAGCCGCGTCCTGCCCCCGTGGGCAGAGAGAGGGGGGCCCAGGTGTCTGCGTGCCCCATAAACGCTCCTTTTAATAGCCCCCCTCGGAAAAAGAAAAACGCGTTGTGCCATTCCTTCCCCAGGCCTGGGCAGGTCTGGAAAAGGCAGGGTGTGACGGAGGAACATCACAATCGAACCCACAACAAAAGCTTCGCTTGGCTTCTGTGCCAAAGCCAGGCCTCCCACCCCCCAAAAAAACCCCAATTATCTCACCGCCCCCCATTTCGCAAGACGCAACGCAGGGAGCCTCTGCCCTCACCCTGCCTGCCTTGGAATCGCAGCCCTGCAGGATGAGACCAGCATCCTGTTCCCGCAGTGGTGCCCTTGAAGCAGGATTCGAACGCAAGACCCGCTCTCCTCCCTTCCTGCGGTTCGCGGCAACTGCGATTCGGCACCATCGCCGCCTCCGACCTCGGAGCCATCCATCTGCCCGATCCTCTTTTATTTTTTTATAAAAAAACTTATTGATTTTCGCAAAATTATAAACAAAATAAACAAACATGGATCATAACCTTATTCAAATTACACTTATTAACATTGTTAATTGACTTCCTCACTTCCCCTTGATTGAATTTCCATGCACTTCTTTTTAACGGTTTTCCAAATCTATCCTCTTTTAAAGACGTCCAGTTCGGTGGCCGACGCTTCCTTCTTGTGGCAAGGAGTTCCGCAGTTTAACGGCGCATCGCTGCGTTTGGGGAGTTAGCAGGAGAGAGCGAAGGGCTCACAGGCTCTCCAGAGGCAGCGGTTGCTGTGCAGGATGCGCCCCTTTCAGTCGCACGCTGTAAGATTTTGCGCAACGTGAATTCTCCAGTCAAATTTGGCTTGGGAAGTTCCAGTTCCTGGATCCGTCCACCTGTCCTGGGGAGGACAGAAAGCGAGGAAAGGAAAAGGGACTGTATTTTGCACCCAAGCCCCAATCCTGCGCTGCAAGAAGGAACTTTTGTTTATCTGTTCTGAATCTTGCAACACTCAGCTTTCCGGTCTTACGAGAGAGAAAGACTTTCTTCAATCCTCGATAGTTAGCCTTGCTAAAGACTTGACGTTTTCCTCCCCAAAAAAGTTTTCGATTTGAGTTTCTACTGAAATGAGGCTGCATTTTAATCTTGCATTTTAATCTTGTTTTTTAAGTTGTATTTCAATCAATTGTTTTATATCTGGTGTTAGCCGCCCTGACCCCGGTCTTGGCTGGGGACGGCGGGGTATAAATAAATTTATTATTATTATTATTATTCAATCCGCTTTCTCCAGGCAGCGCATCATTTTAGGAACTCCTCTCAGCTCGCCTCTTCCTCGCCTTTTTTCCAAAACTCCTAAACGCTGCAACTTTTCTGGAGAACGCATTCTCGCTCCATCCCCTTGCTCTGCTTCTGACCCTTTTTGCAACTCTTCCACGTCCGTTCCGAGACGAGGTGCCCAGAACCCTAGCGTTCGAAAATGCGGTTTTGCTGCAACGGCGCTATGATAACCGACAGTATTGTTTTTTGATTACTAACCGGTGTGTGTCCTGCCAAGCCAGAGCAGCAAGCGCTTTTATCCGCCGGGGGTTCTGCAGTTGCACCCCCAAACTCGGCCCTCCAGATGTTTTGGGACTACAATTCCCATCATCCCTGACCAGTGGTCCTGTTAGCTAGGGATGATGGGAGTTGTAGTCCCCCAAACAGCTGGAGGGCCGAGTTTGGGGATGCCTGCGTTTGTTGTTGTTCTTGTTTAGTCGTTTAGTCGTGTCCGCCTCTTTGTGACCCCCTGGACCAGGCCCTCCTGTCTTCCACTGCCTCCCGCAGTTTGGTCAAACTCATGTTCTTAGCTTCGAGAACACTGTCCCACCATCTCGTCCTCCGTCGTCCCCTTCTCCTTGCGCCCTCCATCTTTCCCAACACCAGGGTCTTTTCCAGGGAGTCTTCTCCTCTCATGAGGTGGCCAAAGTATTGGAGCCTCGGCTTCAGGATCTGTCCTTCCAGTGAGCACTCAGGGCTGATTTCCTTCAGAATGGAGAGGTTGGATCTTCTTGCAGTCCATGGGACTCTCCAGAGTCTCCTCCAGCACCAGAATTCAAAAGCATCCATTCTTCGGCCATCAGCCTTCTTGATGGTCCAGCTCTCACTTCCATACATCACTACTGGGAAAACCAGAGCTTGAACTATACAGACCTTTGTTGGCAAGGTGGTGTCTCTGCTTTTTAAGATTTAAGATTTGTCTTTGCTTTTCTCCCAAGAAGCAGGCGTCTTTTAATTTCGTGGCTGCTGTCACCATCTGCAGTGATCATGGAGCCCAAGAAAGTAAAATCTCTCACTGTCTCCATTTCTTCCCCTTCTGTTTGCCAGGAGGTGATGGGCCCAGTGGCCATGATCTTTGATTTTTTGATGTTGAGCTTCAGACCATATTTTGCGCTCTCCTCTTTCACCCTCATTAAAAGGTTCTTTAATTCCTCCTCACTTTCTGCCATCAAGGTTGTGTCATCTGCATATCTGAGGTTGTTGATATTTCTTCCGGCAATCTTAATTCCGTCTTGGGATTCATCCAGCCCAGCTTTTCACATGATGAATTCTGCATATAAGTTAAATGGCTATCCTTTCCCTCCACGGTCAGAGGCCGCACCAATTCCGAATCCCAGTTTCTGGAAACCTCAGAGTGCTGGTCCTGTGTTCGAATCCTCCTTGGGGCATCTGTTCAGACACTGCTGGCTCTTCCTATGATGGAACCTCCAAGTTCAGACTCAGTCTACCCCGATTCCCAGGCTTTTCGGCAGAACTCTCCCCCTCATCTTGGATGCTTTAGTTGAGATTCCTACATTGCGGCGGGTTGGTCTAGATGATTTCTGGGGGTCCCTCTCCCAACTGGATGGGCCCCCTTCTTATGCTCCCCACTTCCAAAGCTGCCCCACTTTTTCGCTTGGTGCTTCAGTGCCAACAGCAGAGCCCTGTTTCGGTGCCTGCCCGCCCCCCAGCGCCCCCTCCCCGCAAAATACCGATTTTATTCCATGTATAAGGCTATATTTCCCTCTAATTTTTTTAAGTTTAAAATTGGGGGGTCGTCTCACACACAGAATGTTGCAATTATTTATTTCTTAATTTGGGGCTCAAAAAGAATAGGGGTCGTGTTACGCATGGAGTGTTGCAATTATTTATTTCTTAATTTGGGGCTCATAAAAAATAGGGGTCATCTTACATGTTGCAATTATTTATTTCTTAATTTGGGGCTCAAAAAGAATAGGGGTCGTGTTACGCATGGAGTGTTGCAATTATTTATTTCTTAATTTGGGGCTCATAAAAAACAGGGGTCATCTTACATGTTGCAATTATTTATTTCTTAATTCTGGGCTAAAAAAAAAAAATTAGGGGTCATCTTATACATGGGGGCGTCTTATACACGGGAAAATACGCTAGCTCTTTGCTAATGGGGCAGGAGATAGTCTCTGCTTGCAACCGTGGGGCGGATCTCGATCTCGCCTCCTTTGATAACAGAAAGCAGCGTTACAGGCCTGGGCAGATGCAAGGCAGGGGAATCTGTGCCTTTGATGGCTGAGCCAGGCGCTGAGATTAGAACCCGCCTCCGCCTCTCTGCGGTCAGAGGTGTGCCCGCCAATCCCCGTCCCAGGATGTGGAGGCAGCTCCCCGAATTTCTCGCCGCCCCACACGACCCGGGCGCTGGCACCGCGCCTGGCAAGAGAGAGAAACCTAGTTTCTCACCCCCACGCAGGACAGAGACCTAGGACTCAAGTTTCTAGTCTTTCCCCTGCAGAGAGTTGGGCCAAGACCTGGGAGAGACCCGAGTTCGAATCACAGACACACACCCCAAATTCAGCCACGGTGTGCGAATGTGGAGGACCAGACACGTCGGGTCTCCAGTGGGAATTTTTCTCAGCTTCTGCCCGCGAGCCACAGGTTCGAATCCCACCTCCCAGTACCCGGAAAGCTTCCATTTAGTCTAGCTGAGCTTCTGCCCGCGAGCCACGGGTTCGAATCCCACCGCCCGGTACCCGGAAAGCTTCCATTCAGTCTAGCTGAGCTTCTGCCCACGAGCCACGGGTTCGAATCCCACCTCCCGGTACCCGGAAAGCTTCCGTTCGGTCTAGCTGAGCGCTATACCTCTATTACAGCCTTTTAATCTCAGGGTTGTGAGTTTGAGCACCCACATTGGGCAAAAGATTCCTGCATTGCAGGGGGTTGGACTAGATGACCGCTGGGTCCCTTCCAACTCGTTCTTTTATTGGTTTTGCAAACTCCTCAAAGCAGCTGCACACTGGGCGTTTTATAAATGTTTTGAATAAATGCAATGAAATTCTAACAGCCTCTCTCCCCGGGGTTTGGGGCAGGGTGTTACCTACCCGGTGATGCCAAACTGGGGCGTTCTGCATGCCAAACACCTGCTCTACCCACTGAGTTACGTCCAACCCCTCTTTAAAACAAAGCAAGGTTCTAGTCCACATTGTTTGGAATGAACCGACGCCATCGCGGGCTGAACCCGGGGCATTCTACATGCCAAGCAGGCGCTCCCTGACCACCGAGTCCATCGGTCAGCAGGCAGGGCCCGTGCTTTTCATGCAGAAGTCTCCCAAACTGGAGAGAGTAATCTCAGCTCGACCGAGCAGGAAAGATCCTGGTCCGAAGTATAACCTCAAAAAAAGTGGACGGCTCTGGACTCAAGTGACGCAATAGTCTGCATTGACATGCAGCGGTTTCGTCAGGTCTTCGGGACATGCAGAAGCACGGAGGTTAAGCAGGCAAAAAGAGACTGATGGCTGCTGCATGCCTCAAAAGCTTGAGAAGGGCGGACGTAATTTAAGCCCGGCTGATGATCAGCCCAGTGGCCCGTCCCATCCATTAACCAGAAACCCGCAAGCAGGATTCGAACGCAAGCCCCGCTGGAAATTCTGAGCACATAAAGGTAAAGGGACCCCTGACCATTAGGTCCAGTCGTGACCGACTCTGAGGTTGTGGTGCTCATCTCACTTTATTGGCCGAGGGAGCCGGCGTACAGCTTCCAGGTCATGTGGCCAGCAGGACTAAGCCACTTCTGGCGAACCAGAGCAGCGCACGGAAACGCCATTTACCTTCCCGCCGGAGTGGTACCTATTTATCTACTTGCACTTTGATGTGCTTTCGAACTGCTAGGTTGGCAGGAGCAGGGACTGAGCAGGGGAGCTCACCCCGTTGCGGGGATTCGAACCTCCGACCTTCTGATCAGCAAGTCCTAGGCTCTGTGGTTTAACCCACAGCGCCACCCGCGTCCCTTATCGTTTAATCCTGGTCCGAAATCCTGGAAAGCCTCAGTCAACCGGTGTGGAACGTGGTGATCTAGACAGCTGCTATTCCAGGGGGTTGGTCTGGATGACCCTCAGGAGCCCACGCTTAGAGGCAGTGATGGTTCTGAACCCCAGCTGCTGGAGAGCGGCTCTTGCACTCGGATCCCGCTTCCTGGTGCCCCACAATGAGTATCTGGTTGGCCACTGTGAGAACCATTGGCCTGACCCTCATATTCTTCATGCTTCATAGTTAAACTGCGGAACTCCCTGCCACAGGAGCCAACAACGTGGGCAAATTCACAAAGGAGACGAGGACAACGGGGGGCTATTCTGTGCCCTCCCCAGTCAAGAGGCAGCAATGCATCTGAATACCAGTTGCTGGAAACTGCAGGGGTGCCGGCCTTGCGTTCGAATCCTGCCCGTGGCGGGTTTTCCCATAACGGCACCCGCCTGCCCGCTGCGAGAACACGTGTCGGGTGTTCTCCTTCGCCAGAGATTTTTTAACAGAGGTCATACATAACCTGTCAGGGTTTTCTTCTGCACCGATTCGGGGTTGGTCTGGATGACCTTTGGGGGGCCCTTTCCATCTCTACAATGCTACAATCATGCCAAGATTCCTGCTCCAGAAAGCTGTGCTCTTTTTCTTACTTTCACAACCCCCCCTTTGCAAGCTTTTGAGACACGGAGCGGCGAGCATCGCGGGCCCCCCCCAAAAAATTCCCATCTTGGTGGGTTGCAAAAGGATGGTTTTTTTTTCTGGAGCCACAATAGAGGATTCAATTAATGCGTTACACGCTCCGCTGCCCCTTCACAGCCTTGGGACAGACCTGACCTCCGAGGAGGAGATCAGGGAAGGAGGCAGAGATAGTGGAAGAAAAGTGGGGGGCGATTTTTGGAGTGGGGGGGCGAGATAAGACAAAAAAAAGAGATTTTACAGTCCTGGGGTGGGTGGGAAAAAGATGGTTCCTTTCTGAGCTTCTTAAGAAAAAGGGGGGGTCTTTTTTTGCAGAAAGGGACCGTGCTTCAAATGGACCCCCCCCCCAAAATAAAATTCCTTGCTTTCTCTTGGCTTGGGGTTGTTTGGGGCTGAAAGCTACGAAGGGGTTTTTTTCCACTTTGGCCTGGATTTTAATCCCTTTTCAATGAGGTTTTAGCTTTTCTGGATGGGAGAAAAGAGGGGGAAATGAAGGGGAAATTAGGTGGTGGGGTGAGCAGGAGGTAGAAGCAGATTTGGATCTGGGTGTTCAGATTACTGGGGGGGGGGTCTTGGCCCTTTGGGGAACCAGGGGGGCGCAGGACTCCTGGGTTCTGGACTGGCAAGGGATGGCAGGACTCCTGGGTCCTTCTGGGAACCGTTGTGGTGATCCATGTAGTTCAGGGTGCCTATTCTGTGACTGTAATAATAAAATTCAATTCTGGCTGGCAGAGGGAGGTTGAAACTCGAGCGTTCTGCATGCCAAGCAGTCGCTCTGCCACCCAGCTGCCATCTCTCCCTGCAGTTTAGCTTACAACTGTCCACACTGGCCGCCAGCTGCTGCCCACTGTTTCAAAAAAGGAGAGATTCTCAGCCCTACTTGGGGAGCCTTCTGCACTCAAGGCAGCTGTCCTGCTGCTCAGCAAGAACCTCTCTCCTGGCTCAGCAGCAATTGTTGTTTTTTAAGAGGCATTTGGGCAGGTAGCTCTCCCAGCCTGGAGATGACACTGGAGGCTGAGTCAGGAACCTTCTGCACTCCCAGCAGCCGCTCCAGCACTAAGCCATGACTTTTTCCTTAAAATGAAGCTGCTGAGACCCAGGCAAAGCGCTCAAACTTTTCTAACATGTCAAGGTGGAAACTTTTCTGCGCTTTACCTCCAACCTCAACAGCCCCTTCTGCAGTCCTGCCACCCCGGCCTTGCCCATCAAGTGTTCAGCACCCAGTTGGCGGAAGCTGCTGTACCCACTAGGCGCAGCTCCTTCTCTGCAGCCTAACACAATGCTGGCGGAAAGTGAGAGCTGTATGATGGTGGAATGGACTCTCTCGGGAGCTGGCGGGCTCTCCTTCCTTAAGAGATGGATATAAGCAGAGGGCAGGAGGCTGCCTGCCAGGGATGCGATTCCTGCCCTGCAGTGGGTCAGTCTGGATGACCGTTGGGGGTCCCTTCCAATTCGCCAATTCTAAATTCCCCAACTAATTCAGGATTCCAGCCACTTGCCTTCCTCTGAGCTCCAGCCCAGTAACAACACCTCCTCCCCGCCGTTTCCAAGAGGACCCAGGAGTCCTTACATACCTTCTTGCTATGGAATTGCAGAGTTGTAAGGGGACACCTGAGGGTCATCCAGCCTGACCCCCGACAATCTGCCCAAGGACTCTTGGTTCTCAGCTTCTATAGGTCCAAGATGCTGAGCTGACCCCTCATTTCTCCCACCTCCCTCCAGGGAACCCAGGAGTCCTGCAAACTCCCCCCCCAACACCCCGGGGCACGGCCTTCACCTGCCCCCAGGCCCCTCCCTTCTCCACCCAGGGGAGCTCAGGTGTCCGGACTCCCAGAATCCTTCACTCCACAGCAGCCCACCAAGCCCAAATCCGCCCACCCCACCCCCCAACCCCGGGAAAAAGCACTTTATTTTACAACAATGGGAAGGGAAGCCCCACCCCAAGTCCTTTGGGACAACTTGGGTGGGGGGGACACGACAGGCAGCGAAGATTGATGGGCGAGGGAGAGGATCGGAATTTGGAGAGATGAAAGCCTATTGCAAATCGTTGTCCTTTTTTTCCTGGGGGGGGGCAAGAGAGCACAGAAGGAAGCGCCGATATCAGGGGGGGAAAGAGGAAAGAAAAATCTATCGCCTCGCAGAGGCTCATTACCCAAGATCGATGCGGGACTTTAAAAAACACTTTGAACGCGCGCTTCAAAAATAGATCAGGCCTCGAGGAGGGAAAAGGAATGGGGGGCCAGAAGGGGAAACATCAGAGGGAAGGGAAAATCCGCAAAACCCAAAATCTCTCTCTTAGCGGGGAGAGGACCCAGGAGTCCGGGACTCCAGCCCAACTTCTGGAAAACCCGGGAATCCTGGCGCAAAACCCCCAAACGCACTTCTCAACAACAATTGCACTTTACCCCAGAAGGGACCCAGGAGTCCTGCTGACTCCCAAGTTGGGAGATTTCGTTCCACTTGTGTGTGTGAGCGTGGCGGGTTTTGGGGTCTGGATCGGAACCCGGAACCCGTGTGGTACCTCACCTTCCGCAGCCAGGGCGAAGGGGATCCAGAAGCAGAGAAGCCAGCCAGCCATCGCTCCAGGAAAGCCAGAATGAGTCCCAGCAGGAGGAGGAGGAGGAGGAGGGAATCTCAGGATCCACAGCCGCGAGAAAAGATCCCTGTGGAGGAAGAAATCAGATCCCAGGAACCCAGTTCAAGGGGGTCATGAAACAGTGATTCCAAACATGGTTGAGGCGCGTCTAGATTCCTCGCAACGCACACCCGAAAAATTAAATCCTGTTGCGGAATATATGCGCCGCCAAAGATAAAGTAAAAATTCCGAACAACACAAAGCACCCACAAACGCAAAATTAAAAAATTGTTCGGCAAACTCCTGCCTTGGACGAACTTTCGGAGCTCTGTATGGCTTTCCTCTCCGCAAGGTGGCTTTTCGGCCGAGACAATGCGATGTGTCGCTTTTTGCGGGGTGCGGGACCCCCGAAACCGAGGCAGGAAATACGGATTGCACCCCTCAAAAAAAAAGAAGACCTTTTTTGCAACAATAGGGATCCTTGCAACTTTCCGGGCGTTGCGATTGTTCGGGGAAGACTGTGCACGCAATACTTTTAAGGGGGAAACCACCAGGTCCGTCCCAGGACAAAGACTCCAATGTTTCCCAAAAATGAAATCCACGATGGGAGCAGCGTTGCTCTTGCAAACCAGAAAGTCCGGAATGGCAGAAAAATCCCAAGCAAAGGACAAAGGAACCCCCCTAAACTGCAGCGCAGGAGACTCTGGAAGAAGCAGCCGTTGTGGTGCGGATCAGAAAAAGTCTATGCTGGGTTGGGTGAGAGCCAGGAGACTTTGGAGGGGGGGGCAGAGGCGGGAGGGGGGCGGGATAAGTGGATCCGGGTTAGGAATCTGTAAAAAAAAAAAAATCCAAAGTAGTGTCACTCTTTTTTTACCAGCTTCTGTGCAGGTCTGGATTCTTGCCCCCACCCCACAAAAAAACCACAATTTCCCCCAAAAAATGGGGAAAGGGGATTCTCGCCCAGATTTGCACAGGAAAAGAAACTGTGAAGCAAATACTTTGCCGGAATAAATTAGAGGCTCTTCACTCTATTTACACCCCCCCCCAAAAAAAACCCCCACACACAAAGGGGGGGAACTTTGCTCAGCTATCCGGGACACTTTTTCCAGGCCTTCCCAAAGGTTGTAAAAGGATTTCTGCCTTCTCCCCAAAGCAGGGGAAAGGGGGGGGGCTCTCCTGGAAAAATATTTGCAAAGGCAGGATAGCAAACTCCCCCCCCACCGGAAAAAGCTGCGCAGCAAAGGCTTCTCCCTGATACGTTTGCAAAGAGAGGACCCCTCCCCAAAAAAAGACTTGCAAAGGGTTATCTCCTAAATATTTGCAAAAACAGACACCCCCCCCCGGATATTTGCAAAAGCAGAAACGCCCCCCCCCCCAACATTGCAAAGGTTTCTCTCCGAAATATTTGCAAAACAGACCCCCCCCAAAAATACTTTCAGGACCCCCACCCCCCAAATACTTGCACTTCTCCCCTAAATATTTGCAGATCCCACGCACACAAGCTTTGAGAGGGGTAGTAAGTCTACAAAAGGAACGCCCCCCAAAAAAGAAGTATTTGCAAAGGGGGTAGGAACAATTTCCCTTTTTTGCAAAGAATCGGGGGAATTGGAAGTGCCAAATTCTACATAAGAATAATTTTAAAAACCTTGCAAAACTACTGGGGAGGGGGGGTCCCCCGAAGGCGCCCCCCCCCGTCTGACGAGAGATGGGGAGGATGAATTGGGGGTCCTGCGACTTGGACCCCGCGCGGGGCTCGGCTGCTAGAACGAACTCGTGAGAGGGGCGGGGCCGCCGGGAGGCACGCGCGGAACACGCGGGAAGCCCGCGCACGTGTGAACGCGCCCAAGGGCTACGTGCACGGAGGTGCAGCAGCAGCAACAACAATATTATTTGTCCTTGCTTGCTTGCTGCTTCTGTTGTAGTTGTTAACAATAATAAAAAAAGATGTATGAAATATCGTCGTTACCTTTCCCATATTTTTTTTTTATTTGTTTGCTGATTTGGACAATGCTAATTGAAAAAGCTTAGATGTAAAATAGTAGAAGTGTGAGATGATCAGAACCCTCCGAACTTGAACCATGGGAAAATTATAATTTGGCAAAAAATTCGGATTATTCGATATGTATAATTGGGAATATTTAATGTGATCGGATTGCATCGATATCGGTTCCTGTTAATTCCGACACGCCCAATGGGTCTCCCCCGGGGCACCACCCAAGGCCCCAAAAAGCAAAACCGGCTCAAAATCTCACACAGGAAATCTCAACCTAGGCTGGCATTTCTGGGCAGCCGCTCTGGTCGGCACTTCCTCGAGGTGGCCTCATTCTGCACCCCAAGCCACCTGCCCTCTCCAATTCCAGAGGTTTGAGAGGCAGGGCTTTCCAGAGGAGGGAGGTAAAGGTAAAGGGGCCCCTGACCATTAGGTGCAGTCGTGGTCGACTCTGGGGTTGCGGCGCTCATCTCGCTTTATTGGCCGAGGGAGCCGGCATACAGCTTCCGGGTCATGTGGCCAGCAGGACTGAGCCGCTTCTGGCGAACCAGAGCAGCGCACGGAAACGCCGTTTACCTTCCCGCCGGAGCGGTACCTCTTTATCTACTTGCACTTTTTGGAGTGCTTTCGAACTGCTAGGTTGGCAGGAGCAGGGACCGAGCAACGGGAGCTCACCCCGTCGCGGGGATTCGAACCGCCGACCTGATAGGCAAGTCCTAGGCTCTGTGGTTTAACCCACAGTGCCACCCACGTCCCTAGAGGAGGGAGAAGGCACCCTAAAGATGGCAAACTGGGCATCTTGCCCCCCACCCCTCCGCTCAGATTTTTTCTCCTTTACCCTCCTCCTCCCGCAGCAATTTACTCGCCAGGGCACTTTTCAGAGTACGAAACAGCACCAGATTATCCAATAGGCAGAGCAAGCGCATGCTCAGGGGACCAGGAAGAAAGGTGGATCCCCTCCACCTTTAAATTACCATATTTTTCGCTCTATAAGACGCACCAGACCACAAGACGCACCTAGTTTTTGGAGGAGGAAAACAAGAAAAAAAGTATTCTGAATTTCAGAAGCCAGAACAGCAAGAGGGATTGCTGCGCAGCGAAAGCAGCAATCCCTCTTGCTGTTCTGGCTTCTGGGATAGTTGCGCAGCCTGCATTCGCTCCGTAAGACGCACACACATTTCCCCTTACTTTTTAGGATGGAAAAAGTGGGTCTTATAGAGCAAAAAATACGGTATTTTATGATTTATATCCAATTTAACAAACAAAAAAGCAAACCCCAAAACGTCACCATGGAAAAAAACCAGAAATTTCAGATTTCCTTACCCTCCACGCCACACCCTCCTCCAATTTTCCCATTCTCGTTTTAAACACAAGATGAGCCTTCTGGATCAGCCCCCTCGAGGCCAGAATCCTGTCCTCACAGGGGCCAACCAGATGCCCGTTATGGGGAACCGGCGAGCAGGACTCGAACCCAGCGCTCTCCCCTCCTAGCAGCCATGAACAGCCTCATCCTCTTAATGCCACCCAAATTGGTGGCTGGAGGTTCAAGGAATCGATCTTAAATGTAGGCAGCATGCTATGTTTGTAAAAAAAAAATAATACTTTTAAGACAGGTTTAGAATACTTTAAAGACACAGGTTTTTGTCTTTTTAGAAACAATGAAATAAAAATGGTTGACATCAGAGGTTCGCCTGTTTGGGGGAAAACCCTGGAAAGTGAAAACAGGTTGCTTTTTTTCCTTTTAACTTCGCAATTAGGACGCCTTGCTATTTTACCCATAAAATTACGATAGTAAAAAGTAAACGTAAAATTAATTCGCAGCACTCTGCTTTTCGTAGTGATCCCTGTGAGGCTGTGGAATGTAATACTGGGCTGTGTGTGTATCTCTTATATACATTAAAAACGGAAGGCTGTCGTCATATATTTATTTCATAAATTTTGCATACTGCTTTATTGCAGGGGGAAACCCTCAGAGTGGTTCACAAAACAGATAAAACAATAGAATGATCGCTCAGTGTTTACAGCCACAAGTTAAAATGTTCGGAGAGCTAAAACCACAACAGAATAGATTGCAAAACTCATAGGCAAACTCGGCCCTCCAGATGTTTTGGGACTACAACTCCCATTATCCCTAGCTAACAGGACCAGTGGTCAGGGATGATGGGAATTGTAGTCTCAAAACATCGGGAGGGCCGAATTTGCCTATGCCTGCGCGAGGCAATTTGGTAGATCAGGAATCAGCAAACCTTTTCAGCAGGGGGCCGGTCCACTGTCCCTCAGACCTTCTGGGGGGCTGGACTATATTTTTTGGGGGGAAATGAATGAATTCCTATGCCCCACAAATAACCCAGAGATGCATTTTAAATAAAAGCACATATTCTACTCATGTAAAAACATGCTGATTCCCGGACCGTCCGCGGGCCGGATTTAGAAGGTGATTGGGCCGGATCCGGCCCCCGGGCCGTAGTTTGCCTACCCCTGTGGTAGATCCCTGTCAGCTGCAGCGTTCTGCACTGACGGCTGCTTCTGGATCAAGCACAAGGGATGCTCCAGGGAGAGCACATTGCAGTAGTCTATCCTTAAAGTAACCAGTGCATGAACTACTGTGGCCAGGCTCTCTCTCAGTGGCAGCCAAACCGACTGCAATATGGGGGGGTAAGACGCAAACTGTTTAATGGGGAAGGAGGCACTTCAGAGCCAACTAGCTGGGAACTGATGGGAGTTGTAGTGATTGGTTCAAAATTGGGAAAGGAGTAAGACAAGGCTGTATATTGTCTCCCTGCTTATTTTAACTCGTATGCGGAATTCATCATGCGAAAGGCTGGGCTGGATGAATCCCAAGCCGGAATTAAGATTGCCGGAAGAAATATCAACAACCTCAGATATGCAGATGATACAACCTTGATGGCAGAAAGTGAGGAGGAATTAAATAACCTTTTAATGAGGGTGAAAGAGGAGAGCGCAAAATATGGTCTGAAGCTCAACATCAAAAAAAACCGAAGATCATGGCCACTGGGCCCATCACCTCCTGGCAAATAGAAGGGGAAGAAATGGAGGCAGTGAGAGATTTTACTTTCTTGGGCTCCATGATCACTGCAGATGGTGACAGCAGCCACGAAATTAAAAGACGCCTGCTTCTTGGGAGAAAAGCAATGACAAACCTAGACAGCATCTTAAAAAGCAGAGACATCACCTTCCCAACAAAGGTCCATATAGTTAAAGCTCTGGTTTTCCCAGTAGTGATGTATGGAAGTGAGAGCTGGACCATCAAGAAGGCTGATGGCCGAAGAATGGATGCTTTTGAATTCTGGTGCTGGAGGAGACTCTTGAGAGTCCCATGGACTGCAAGAAGATCCAACCTCTCCATTCTTAAGGAAATCAGCCCTGAGTGCTCACTGGAAGGACAGATCCTGAAGCTGAGGCTGCAAGACTTTGGCCACCTCATGAGAAGAGAAGACTCCCTGGAAAAGACCCTGATGTTGGGAAAGATGGAGGGCACAAGGAGAAGGGGACGACGGAGGACGAGATGGTGGGACAGTGTTCTCGAAGCTACCAGCATGAGTTTGACCCAACTGCGGGAGGCAGTGGAAGACAGGAGGGCCTGGCGTGCTCTGGTCCAGGGGGTCACGAAGAGGCGGACACGACTAAACGACTAAACAACAACAACCTGGTGGGTGTCAGCTTGGTGCATTTCCCCTCGGTGCAATATGGGGGGGGGTATTTATGCGCCTCGTCCCATTTCTCTGTGTGCCACCATTCTCCGAAGCCCTGACTCCTAAGGGGGAGTCTACATGGGTCGAATTTAAAAAAGAAATAAATTGTAATTTCTGCTGCTCTCGTGCATGGGAAAGCTTCCACCTCAGAAAGAGATTAGGGGAGAAAATTTGCCCTATGGTTTCGGGGACACAGGGAGGGTGGATGCAGAAAGCCTAACTTATTTTTTAAAATATAATTTTTATTAATTTTTACATATTAGTTATCATTCATACAACAAAACTTCACATCTTATACAATCTTTTTGGACTTCCATCAGCCCCTCTGATGGCCTTCCGTTCTTATCACTTATTCTGCATTTCTTAAATTCCTATTGCCTTTAATTATCTTAACTATCCGTCCCCCTCGTTACCTTTCTTTGCAATATTTCAAATAGTCCACCTTAGAAATCTTTTCGCAAACCTACAAGCGTAATATGATCATCACAATTACTCTCCAATAGTCCGTAAATTTATGCCAGTCTTCTGTGAATCTCTGGTCCCCCAGATTTCAAATTCTTCCTGTTAATTTATCTAATTCTGCATAGTCCACCAATTTCATCCTCCATTCTTCTTTTGTCAGTAATTCTTCTTGTTTCCAATTTTGTGCCAATAATATTCTTGCTGCCGTCATTGCATATAGAAATCATTTACAATCCTTTCTCTTTATATCATCTCCTACAATGCCACAGAAAGCCTACCTAAAAGAGCTGGCAGATCAATGTGGGCCAGAAACTTTGGAAAGCGGTTCTGCCGAAAGTGCTCGCCTGGGGGACGAAGGTGCCCACGGAAAAACCAGTGCAAAAGAATAATAATAAACCACCCTCTTGTTGTTTTTCACTGCCCAGCCTTGTGAAGAGTCACATTTTCGGTTGGCGCAACCAAGGCCCTGCCCTGATAGGAACTTTGGAATCTGCCTGCTGTGCCCATTTCGCAGCTCCTGACAACTGAGGCAAGAGATTGAGGGCGACCGTGTGGGAACCAGCGGCGGAGGCTTGGCTGCGAACCACAAGGCTGGCGCCTTGCCTATCTAAAAATATATCTGTGTACCTGGCAGAGCAGCGTTGCAGCTGACACGCCCGCAGGTTTTGTACGAGGCGAGGGGAGGGAGCCTGGGGTCATCTAGTCCAACCCGCTGCAATGGCACAAATGTTGCTCAGGTACCTATCCAAAAGGCACCCTGTCCGTCCGTCCGTCTGTCCCCCCAGAAGGCAGAGATATGGGGACTCCGGGGGGGCAGGCGGGATGTGTGGGTCAGCAGCAAGGGGGCAGCGGCAGAACTAGGCCTCTGACCCGGGAGAGGCTGGATTTCATCTCGTTTCCTGCTTGGCTCCAGCCATCCTGAATGAAACAATTCCCTGCCCTTTCCTTTCTGGCAGCAGCCGACAAAACTGTGCCGAGAAGATGATGAAGGCGGAAATGCAATTTTTTTTTGGGGGGGGGGGGAGATTGTGTCTGTGCTGGCAAGGGAGACACGCAGACACAGGAACTGGAGGGGAGGGGAAAACCAGCCATTCTTTTGGGAGGCAGTGTGGCGCAATGGTTAGAGCACCGGGCAATGACCTGGGAGGAGAGCCGGGTTCGAAATGTGGGGGGGGGGAGAGAACCTCGAACGGCACCTTGAGATCATTGGGAGATAAAATTGGTAGGACTGAAAATAGTGTTTGTTTGTGTTGGCTGTTAAATTGGACCGGACGAAGTGAATATTAGTTTCATATAGCGGAGAGATGGAAGAATCGGACATTACTGTATTTACTTTCTGGATCTTATTCATCTTTTTCTTTTGATAATAATATGTGGTTTCCCCAGCCACTCTGGACGGCTTCCAACAGAACACTAAAATACAATAACCTATACAGAGCTGCCTTCAGCTGTCTTCTAAAAGTTTGGTAGTTATTTTTCTCTTTGACATCTGGTGGGAGGGCGTTCCACAGGGCGGGCGCCACCACCGAGAAGGCCCTCTGCCTGGTTCCCTGTAACCTCACTTCTCGCAGGGAGGGAACTGCCAGAAGGCCCTCGGAGCTGGACCTCAGTGTCCAGGCTGGACGATGGGGGTGGAGACACTCCTTCAGGTCTACTGGGCCTTTGAGGCCATTTAGGGCTTTCAAGGTCAACACCAACACTTTGAATTGTGCTCGGAAACGTACTGGGAGCCAATGTAGGTCTTTCAGGACCGGTGTTATGTGGTCTCGGCGGCCGCTCCCAGTCACCAATCTGGCTGCCACATTCTGGATTAGTTGCAGTTTCTGGGTCACCTTCAAAGGCAGCCCCACGTAGAGCGAATTGCAGTAGTCCAAGAGACAGATAACCAGAGCATGCACCACTCTGGCCAGACAGTCTGTGGGCAGATAGGGTCTCATCCTGCGTACCAGATGGAGCTGGAAGACAGCTGCCCTGGACACAGAACTGACCTGTGCCTCCATGGACAGCGGTGAGTCCAAAATGACTCCCAGGCTGCGCACTGGTCCTTCAGGGGCACAGTTGCCCCATTCAGGACCAGGGAGTCCTCCACACCTGCCCGCCTCCTGTACTTCTGTCTTGTCAGGATTCAACCTCAATCTGTTAGCTGCCATCCATCCTCCAACCGCCTCCAGACACCGTTGTGGCTGCTAGTCCTAGATCTTCTCCATGGATTTGACTGATCCTCTTCTAAAGCCATCCGAAAATTGGTGGCCAGCAAGCATTCAGTTACGAGAGGAGAACGTTCCTCTCTCCACTTTCTCCAGGCCAGGCTTAATTTCATAAACTTCCTCCATTGTGGCCTTTTACTCATCCTTCCCCTGAGCTTAAAAGCCCTGAACGCTGCGTCCTTTTCTCAAAGGGGGAACCTTGACCATTTGCCCTTTCTTAACGCGACAATGAGGTGAAAGAGGAGAGCGCAAAATATGGTCTGAAGCTCAACATCAAAGAAACGAAGATCGTGGCCACTGGGCCCATCACCTCCTGGCAAATAGAAGGGGAAGAAATGGAGGCAGTGAGAGATTTTACTTTCTTGGGCTCCATGATCACTGCAGCTGGTGACAGCAGCCACGAAATTAAAAGACGCCTGCTTCTTGGGAGAAAAGCAATGACAAACCTAGACGGCATCTTAAAAAGCAGAGACATCACCTTGCCAACAAAGGTCCGTATAGTTAAAGCTCTGGTTTTCCCAGGAGTGATGTATGGAAGTGAGAGCTGGACCATCAAGAAGGCTGATCGATGAAGAATGGATGCTTTTGAATTCTGGTGCTGGAGGAGACTCTGGAGAGTCCCATGGACTGCAAGAAGATCAAACCTCTCCATTCTGAAGGAAAGCAGCCCTGAGTGCTCACTGGAAGGACAGATCCTGAAGCTGAGGCTCCAAGACTTTGGCCTCCTCATGAGAAGAGAAGACTCCCTGGAAAAGACCCTGATGTTGGGAAAGATGGAGGGCACAAGGAGAAGGGGACAACAGAGGACGAGATGGTGGGACAGTGTTCTGGAAGCTACCAGCATGAGTTTGACCAAACTGTGGGAGGCAGTGGAAGACAGGAGTGCCTGGCGTGCTCTGGTCCAGGGGGTCACAAAGAGGCGGAGACGACTAAACGACTCAACAACAACAACAATTGAATAAAATTGCAAAAAAAAAATTTCACCCCCCAAAATGGCACCCACTATTATCACAGTACATTGGCAGCAGGTTGGCCAAGGCTCAGCCTTTGAAACTCTTTCTTGTGATGTAACAGGGGGAAAGCGGCTTTCCTCTGAAGAGCATGTGCAAAGTTGCCTCCTGCAACCACAGGGTGAACGAGCTTCAGGGAAAGCAATCATTAGCATTTATATAGTATCTCCTATGTGTTATCACACATGTCATCTTGCAATAGACACGTCTCGGTATTCCCAGGCCCTGTTTTTCGGGAATGTCTCACTCCTGTTTGCTCAGACGGAAGCCGGAGTGAGTTCCCAGCAGCAAAGGGAGGAGCGGAAAGAGGCTCACAGCTCACGCTTCTAACCATAAACCGCTGGGTCTCTTATCTATCTCAGTACCGTCTCTACACGGAACAAGATTTTAGTCCTCATGGCTGCAAACAAATGAACAGGATTGATGGAAGCTGCCTTGGGAGTCAAACCTACACTGACCGGCAGCAGCGACTGTCCTGGGGATTCGAACCCGGGTCTCCCCCAGACCTACCTGCATCTTCAGGTAGATCTGGGAGAGACCCCAGTTCGAATTCCCTGGAAAGTCAGGGATTGGAGCTGGGACCTTCTGCAAGCCAGGCAGGTGTTCTGCTACTGAGTCCTTGCCTAAAACAGAAGGTTGCCAAGTTTAGGGAACGGGTGAAATTTAATTAGTACTCCCCAATTTTCTCTTTAGGGAAGCTTTTATGGCGGTATTTTAATATTTTGTTGGAAGCCGCCCAGAGTGGCTGGGGAAGCCCAGCCAGATGGGCGGGGTATAAATAATAAATTATTATTACTATTATTATTATTATTATTATTATTAATCTAAATTCAGCACCAGTAGGGGAAACCGAGGCTGAGAAGTGGGAAACCCCATTTCCCAAGGCCACATCCTAAGTCTGCGGCAGGTGCGGGACTCGAAGCCAAGCCAAGAGGTTCCTGGTTCTCAATCCTCCGAGCCGTTTCGGCTCTCGGCTAAGTGAAACTGCTGGCGTGAGCACAAACAAGTCATGGCTTCATTTCTGAAAGGAGAAGTCTCCTCCGATCATGGCTGTGTGGCCATTCCTCCACGGTGACTGGGCAGCACTCATTGCATGCTCAGAGGCACTCTTGACTTTACCAGGGCTCCTGAAAATTGGCTCAGTGGCCAAGCTGACCTCAAATGAAATTATTTATTTTGGCCCGCTTATTCCGCAAACATCTTGATTTGCTTACGCGGTGGTTAGACTAGATTGGACTTTGTCAAGTACTAGTGGGGTGTGCCTGCCTCTGCCTGGGAATGCTTAAAAAAATTCTGTGATATTCGAATGGA